TAATATTGATCCTCCGCTGACCTCCTATGAAGTTCTCATCATTTCATAAAATTCTCCACACATGTCGTTAATGAGATCAGCTGGCTCCCACAGGTCCGCGCACAGATAAACTTTGACCCCCCGACACTGTCGGACAACAAGCAGCACACGGGGGCTTTATCTGATTTGTCAGGCTGTGCAAAAGGGTTTTCCATTTCTCCCCGTGTCTCCGTCGCAGAAGACTGCCTACGGTCTGGACTCCATTTCATTTAAGCTCCACGGCCCGTTGAGCTCTTCTAGAACGCCACCTTCGAAGGGGTCAGACCGTGAAATATCGGCTAATTTTTTACCTCGCGCTGGAACGAAAGTGGTTGATGAGCAAATTTAGGCCCCACCGCGCCCGCCCGCCGCCCGCCAAAATAAAGCGCCTTCACAAAGCAACACCAGCTTCATGAGCGAAGCTCCCAACCCAAATGAGCCTGATGATTATCCGAATATATCTCCGTTGCCGTTACAATAGGCTCCAATCAACGAGCGGGGCTGCCTTAAACTCGGCGCGTGTGCATATCCCAGAGGCATTAATTTCACCAACTGCCCACATATGAGTTTGGGGGTGGATGATTGGTGTAGGTGTGGGGAATTGATTGAGTGTAACTGAGGCAATGCCAGCCACACGGAATACAAAAGGACAATGATTGAGGGGCCTACAGATATGGATACCCCTTTGAGTGCCGGTGTCACGTGCAATAAATCAAATAGTTTGCCTTCCCGCCAGCTCGGCCTGTTTTGAATCTAAAGCTGCTTATGAGGGAAGAGATGTAAAAAAAATAAAAAATAAAAATTTTTAAAGCTGTGATTTGTATTCGACTGCGTTCAGCCACACACTGTCCCCTGTCCTCTCTTCCCGTCTCCCCCACTCCCCTGTCAGCTCATTAGTCACCGTCTCAATATTGCTTCAAGGTGTGGATCCAAGCTCTCATCTAATTATGCCCAAACACTCACGTAATACAGTGAATGAGATAAGGAAAACTTTCCCGTAATAGTTTGGGAAAAATGTTCTGGGGCTCTCGCGGGTTTGTGTGACTCTTTCCTCCGCACACACAAAATTGGACCCGAGCCACACCCTGGCAATGACATCCAGAAGTACAATTCTTAAGTCAGCAACAATAAAGTGCTTCGAAAATGTAAATCTTTGACCACGCTGGCAGCGGACCAGCCACTGACATCTATTTAAAAGATTTCTTCTGATGAATAGTCTTTCCTCGGGGGGGAAACAAAATTACACCCTGAATAAATACACCCGGGGAATATTAAATCTGTGATTTGTAAGAACAAGTCTTTAGGCAGAAAATATGGATTTGGGAAGAGTGGGTGGTCATTGAGAGAAATAAGCTGGGTTGGCCCCATTATTTCACACCCTCCACCTTCAAAACTAATTACTCATCTATCATTTACAACCTATTAACAACCAAACTCAGTCTAGTTAATACCACGAGGGAGAGGGGAGCCATTCTGCTGCTGCACAGATAATTGATACATATTGGCTCCCGTCGAATTCTCTTTTTCTCTCCAGGAGCTGGTGCTTTAATCTTTGTCCGATGACAGCATCAATTTGGCTTTAAAGCTCTTCAGCGCCCAAAAATATCATGTTTAATCACATATTTTTCACTTTATTGAAAATATATTTTATCAATCCCAAAATGGGATATGACTTAAAAAGCATTTAAACGAATAGGCATATATTTCCCCCCTTTAAAAGTAACTCGTAATAAAAAAAATGTAAAAATTTGATCAAACGCCTGCCTCTCGAATTTATTTCATCCTCCCGTGTGTGTGGAGAGTGAAAACATTCCAACTTCCAGCTTTAGAAAATGAAGCCTCAAACAGCAACACTAACAATCTCAAACAAATACAATGATGAGTATAGATAAGAACACAGCTTACATTTGTATTATATTAACTAATATGCAATCATTCGAACCTAAATCATCACATTAGAACATACAATTTACATTTAAACAAGAACCTTTTTTTGGCCATAAGTGAGACAACAGAGGCCAAAACTGTAAAATCCATTATTGATCAGTTGTATAAATGATAAAACAGAGATTAAACTAGCACAAAATAATGTTTATATGCCTCAAAATTGTTTGTGTTTTACGTGTGTTGACACTTGGTATTGATATTCTTGAGCTTGAAATTGACCAAGAGAAGGCAGGAGCTGGGCTACCAAACCTAACGATTATTGAACACAGTTACTGTTTTCCGTACTCTTACTCCCAAAGTCCACTCTCTATCTATGTCTGGCTGTTCACTTGACTGCAACCGTTAATTACAAACAACAGAAGGATGTCGAGACGGGCAAATCTGTGCAGACTTTGCATGCACAGTGTTTTCTCTCTCGGTTCCGGATCGTCTGAAACTGGGGTGGTTTAAGTTTGGGTTTTAAGGGTTTAAAGTAAATGACAAATTAAACAAAATGGACAAAGAATTGAGAAGGAAAAAAAACGCATGCTTCTGCCTTACACATCTCATTATTAGGAGCTTAACGATTCTCCTCCTTCTACATCAATGTGCCTAATTTGAGGCAAAGGCTGGGAAACATGTTTCAGTCTGTGACACTATTACACTTTGGGCATGCAGACAAACTTACCTATTACTCGTTGCGCAAATGGATTGGTCCGCTATGTTTTGTGTGCTTTTCACTATCTGATAAGCCGGGAAGGAAATCTAGCTTATTATTATATCTGTGAAAACACAAGCCGGGATGTTTTCCCAACCCCCACCACCCACAAAAAAAAAAGTCATTTGTAAAGTAGTGTTGAAATGGTAACATCGAACCTACAGGATGTCAATGGCTTAGTGGATATAGTGGGAGTCTTCCTGCTAAAAGGTCAGCAGTTTAGCCCCAAGCTCCTCAAAAGTTTACCATCATAGAAGAGAAACTGAATCCTGTCTCTTGATATGCTCAGAGCAGTGTCTCTGTAGTTACACACCACTGTATGGTGCGCACACACAGTGCTTATAATGAACACAGTAGGAGTCAGCAGGTGACACCAAGAATTTTATCTAACGCTAAAGCTGGGCTATAATTCAGGGCTACAGGGTGATTAAAAACTAGTAACAAGTTAGGTGGTATTGTGAAAAATAAAGCTTGCAGAGTTCAAAATTAAGCATTACCTGGTTGCAGTGGATTAGTTGTGGTACAAAAAATATATGATCATACAAATGCACATGCATTCTATATGTAGGCTCCAACCAAAGAAATCCTACCGGCAGGAATTATTATTCTTTAATGTGTCCTGTAATTGCTCTTTTTATAGAAGGAATGAGCAAGATGTTCCCTTATTATCATAATGCAGAAGAAAAACATTAGCTATAATTATACATTCCCAATACTGCCCAAAGGCAAGAGAAGATAAATATAAGATGATAATAAAAGGAGCTCTTTATATTTTCATTTGAAAATAGAAAATGTGTGAGTGACGAAAGCTTTGTTCCTGACAGGAGTTGCGTTCTGGACCAGCTATAACACACTTTAGTGACCCGTGCGTTTAAATTTTCAGTAGTAGTGACACAAAGGAGCACTAAAAATAGAGGACTGGTTACATCTATCAGCGAATAAGGCACATAAACATCAGTCCGAAACCATTTACAGTACAGTCAAATTTGAAGGACAATAGCAAACGCCTCGGACTCCAACCCCTCTGTTCCACAACATGCTACAACATGCTCCACCAGAATAACCGCTGGAGCCTCTCTCCAATTACATAATGTTATTCATCTTTGCAGCCTCCTTCCCTCTTCACAAAATCCCATCTCCATAGCGACACAAATTCATACATGGCTTTCGGAAATAATTGTTTGCCCCTGCCTCAAATGATTCTTCATCGTATGTTTAAAAATTTCATAAGTCTCTGGTTTATAAATATATTCAACATAAAACAACAGGGCCGCTGATTTCTGTGTATATGTCTTTGCGGGGATTATGTACCTCTGTGGGCTTTCAGATTTAGAATGCAGGTCACTGCACTTGTCTGGAGAGTCTCATCACATTTCCTTGTGCTTTTTTTTATGTTTTAGTTATGTCTAAGTGTGTCTCGTTTTCATTACGGCGAAGAAACCCATTTAAGACGTAAAAGAGTTATTTCAGCTGTATCCCTCACTCTGCTGCAGTATCTTTTCAAGGCTTGTTAACCACCTCGCTAAATTGCGCTTCTGGTCATGGCGAAGCGAGGAAAGCAGCTGCATTGAACCCTCCGAGTTTGAGGTAATGAGCACGAATTCAACTTTTCATTTTCAGCAGTTTCACATGCCTCTGTCTTTTTTAACCTCCTGGACTTTTGCCGGGATGTTTGCTCATCGCAAATAGCACAAAATGAAAATAAAGCACACTGTGGTAAATCCAGGTTTTGTGTAAGACTACATTTCAGTAATGGCAAAACATAAGACTGAGGGGAATAATCCTGTCAAATCAAGCCATAGTTTAAAGAGAATAAATTCAGGCTTGACCTGAATCTGTGCAGCCCGTTATCTCCTTTAAAATGTCAAGTACGTGAATGCGCTGATCAGGGCATGAAAGTACTCATATATATTATGTCCTTGAGTCGCAGAGATTAAAATTTCCATTTCAGGCACACACACACACACACACAAAAAAAAGAAAAAAAAAGGCTTCCGGAAATGCAAACATCACCTGCTGAGCGCTGAAAACCAGAAAGGTTACTGAGCCTTATCTGCAATTATGCAAAAACACAGAGACTGGCCAAACCCGTGCTCATTGCTACAAAGGGAATAGACTGTGCCTTGATGTTGCTTGTAGCATCCCCTCTCTCATTCACAGATATGTAGCATGCAGCACATCCTAGAGGAGGATACAGGCAAAAACAGCTGACTACACACAACTCACACCTTGTCAAGTTTTGAATAATGAATACGTGCAATTAAAATTTAAATCAACCCCAAAGTACAAAAAAAAAAGATACAGATGGCAAGTTAACGAGTTACTTTTTTAGATTTGGTTTTAATTCACAACAGTGCCATTTGAGTGAGATGAATAGGAGTAACAACAAGCTGGTTTTAATGACATGCAAGGATTAAATATGAGTGTCTGGTTTTGGAATACATACAAAACTGTAAAGCCTCGCTCTGTTTGACGCGCTACTCCTGTCAGCGGCTCTGACAGGGAGCTGCTAACTCCACATCTGCACTCATTGTGTCAACTGTTTCAATTTTCAGAGAGATTTCTGTTTTATCACAGGAAGGAAGACTGAGGGAAAGACAAAATATTCGGAAACACGGGTCACGCAGTACGAGCTGCTCTCTATCGTTTTTCCTCCTAATACCTGGGAATATAAATAGTTGAGTTTAAAAATAATGGCTTTCATCTTCAATTAAACCTCTGAATATTCAACACGAGAGCAATGGTGCCCCCTTGTGTAAAATGTAATTAATCGTCTGATAGTAATGGGGAAACTTGTGGTAGATTCTGATGCAAACTGATGGCTGGGAGACTGTGTGGAGCTTCAAAACGCGTGGTGCTTCACCCGCGAAGCGCTTTGAACATTTTTTTTATCCCACAGTCACACACTTTCCTCTGCAGTAAAACTTGGATTGATTCTCTCTGAAGTGAAGGGCATTCCCTGGACCCCATCTTCAGCCCTCTGCTGCTGCTCGTCATTCAGGCCGCGGCTCTATCCTCCGCTGTCGGAGCTGTGGGCGCACTGCACCGCCCTGGGCTCAGCCAGCCGCTCGTAGGACAGCGCTGTCATAACCTGCACACAAAAAAAAAAACGAACGGGGTGATGTGGCTTTAGAGAATAGAGAGCGCCAAAGTAATAAGAATTGGCCATTAAAAGACGTGCTGAGTTAAGGATTTCACGGCAAGAACACCCCATGGCCACTGCCTTTCACTTAAGCTTAAGCTTGGTTTTCCATGCAGAAAAAGTGATACTGATCAGCACATTTAACCATCACACTTAAAGTTTTCTACCTTGATGAAAAAAAATTGTTAAAGGTCCAGGTCTAAATATATCCTTTTGAGGCCTAGCTTTTCTCCCTTCTGAGAAACGGTAGTTTGTATTAGCTTATGGAGCTGAATCATGGCCTAATAATTAAGTAGATGGGCCAAATTATGAGATGTAAAATGATATTTGATCATCTTATGTCTAATAATTTATGGATTAGACTTCCCAGGGTGTACTAGGATATGTTGGGAATGAGTGGTACAGAAAAATGGATGGATGGATTATTATTATATATCAATTACTCTTATTTCTCCCTTTTCATTTATTTCTTAACATATCTCAAAATGATATGAATTGGTCTGAATATTTATACTTTGTCATTACATCGCCATTGTTGATATACTGGAACACAAAAGTGTCCCCTTCTGGTTGCAATCATTTAAGGCTTTTTTCCACTTTCCGGTCTTATCACAGATTGTAAAATATGTGTCTCGGTCCAAGGCAACATGCTGCGATTGCAGCATTAAAAAACCCAAAGCTGTAAAACAGCTATATTATACCTCCTCAGTTCTCTGTGGCAACAAAACCAAAGTCAGATAATGAGTACATCTTTTGTCCATCAACTAAGATTACTTAGAATTATTAATACTATTATTGTTCATTAGGAGTTGGAAGTTAAGTGCTGGGGTTCAAATCAACGTACAGTTCGACTTTAGAATTTGGTATTAAAGACTACACTGATCGCATAACACATTGTCCACAAATGCAAACACATTAACTCATTTCATATTCTCTCGTGAGACTGGTTGCTTTTTGACAAACGAAGCTAATCTCCTGCCTTAAAGCAAATCTCCCAAAGCGTCAACCTCTCCTTTGTTTTGTTCACATTGCCAATTCAGTTTAACATGATGTCAGCAGACACTTATCTCCAGGTCCGCCCGTGCAGGTTCTTGGTCAGCATACTTTTTGCATGACATTATAATGCATTGGGACTCTTTTTCTTTATTTTGTGGGGTGGCCAGCTATTATCATCTTGCAGGTCGAGAGCTTTAAATGATTCAATTAAGTCTGAGTTTATAGGTTTGAGTGGTAATGTGTGAAATAAATGCTTGAGTTCAACCATTAGGATTGAAGTTCATGCTCCACAGGCGGCAACCAAATTCTCTTTGGGACCGTTTTCTCATTGTACAAACTTTATTTTCAGAGCCTGTTTGATAAGATATCAAATTAATCAAAATCAAAAGTAAAAATCAAAAGTAATCAAATCGTATGTTGGGTTTTAGGTTGAGCTATTTTCATATATCTTGAATTTTATGCACATACAAACATTAACAAATATGGAATTGAATCTTCTCCTGGTAAATTATTGAAAAATTGGATTCCTGATCCTTACCTTGTGTATGTATTTTATAATCCAATTAAATCGCTATTTTTAGATTTGCAGAATGGTGGGTCAGCCTGATAAACCCAACAATCAGAGCCCGCGCCTCTACAGTAATGACCGTGCACCCATTTTCAGTGCCTGCTTAATCCAATTCAGGGTCTCGGGAACCTATTCCAGCCATCATTTGGGTGAGACCATTCATCACAGGGCCAAAAAGAGGCAAACCACAAACAATCACCGGCTCACAATCTGATGGTCAATTTAAAATCTTTGAGCATTGAGATGAGACTGGAATCAACATGCAAATCATACAATGAAAGGCTAGGATCTAGGATTCGGACCAGGGACCATCTTGCTGTGAATGACGCTGCTATTCATAACACCATTTGGACCCCATTAACAGGAATATATGTAAAATATTTCTAGATTTATAATTTTGAGAAATATCCCTTTGATGATGCTAACCTCTTCTTAACAACCAGTATCATCATTCCCATGGTAACCATATTGATAAATCCAATTTTAAAGGACTAGTTCAGGGAAACTGGACTTAAGGGCTCCCGAACACGTGTCTGTATGAGATGTGTGAGATCCGAACAAGCTGGCAGTTCGCAAAGTGTTTTGTTTTACTTACCGTGATCATTACAAGGAGAGCCAGCATCATGCCCAACATGATGTACAAATTATTGGTCAGCCCTCCGGCCCACAAAGGCCCAAGGATGGTGGCCAGGCCTCCAACCGAGCGTCTGACTCCTTGGCTGAATCCTTTTTTTTGGGGGGGTAAAGGATCGCAAAAGCATTAAAGCTCCGCCCTTTCAAGCAGCGCTGTAAACTTTTTCTTCAGCATCACATATTCGGAAGAAATAGAAACCGTGCCAACCTTGCGTTTTCTCCGCGGTGACTTTGGAGAAGAGAGACACCTGAGACACGGCCACGAAGGGAAGCCCCAGCAGCTGCAGGAACACTCCGATGATGAAGGCCGACAGCTCCCATCCATAACCACCTGGCAGGGGAGGGATATTTCTGTCACAACAATGTACCGCAAAAAACACAAAAGTTTTCACGAAACTGCCGGGGAAAATGGAAGAATTGCGTCAGTTTTTATGGAAACAACGTACAAATATAAACGGTAAAACAGTAGGGCGCGGGCAACGTGCCCATTTCTGATGAGGCCAACAGAGGATAGAACAATTGAAAGCCCAGATGTATCTTTCAAGTCCTGTGTCAGGTCTTTGATGGATTTTTTTACTCATTTTTCAAGGATGTCACTCTCAGACACTATCTGCTGCAGACAGGTTTCTGGGCTTGATACCTTTTCTTTTGTCCTCCACTTGTCTGGTTTCATCAATTTTTTTTTTAAAGTTACGCAGCACACCATGCTGAGATATGAGAGCACTCTTTGGAATCACGCTGTTCTCCTATAAATGCTATGTTGTGTTTTTGAACAAAGAAGAAAAGGAAAGAAATTTGGATTTTTTTTACGGCAGATCCTAATTCACATTGTACTGAGGGATATTTTTAAATAGATTTTTTTTGCGAAGATGTCTTTTATGAGCTGTTATGTGTAAAAAACAACACTGGTGCATCCCTGAGGGGCTTTTATTCTACTTGAATGATTCATAGGTTGGTGCTAGATGGCTCGACAAACACAAAAACATTCCTGTGAAAATGGTCAGACAAGACAAGAACTGGAAATTGCTCGAGACTGCCTCAAAAGAGTAAAGGAACGAAAAGGGTTTTGCGTCGGGACAATTTACTTAATCAAAGAAAGATTTTTAGAAATCTAACTTCAGATTTCCATGCATCTATGTGCTAGATCTTTCAGAATTGATGAAGTGGTACATTTAGTAGCTTTTGTATTCTCATAAATTGTGAGGATTGGAAGCCAGAGTCAGCTCATGCGGCAGTTCCCCCTCATCTTTCGGTTTGTGACTTTCCTCCACAAAACAGGCTGGCACCACCGCCGATAGCTCTGTCTGAAAATGAAACCCCTGCCAAGCTGGCAGCGGCTCCATTTTTGTTCTCTGCTGCTTTGCATCATGCACATGTTGGTGTGAATGTGAGCCCGCTCCCATCGTTGGACGTTCCCGCGTGAGCCCAAACTCTATAATTGTGTGATGAAAAGCAATTTCGCCGTTTAAACATCTTTGTCAGTGATCCAAGCGCGGGCCGTCGTTTGACATCAGGTATCTGTAGGTTTGAGGATTGCCTGTTTTAACGTGACTGTAACAAATAAGGGAACGAACGTATTCTACAGTCTGCACAAACAGAATGTTGGTCTAATTAGATTTCTGTAATCTTTTTATATGTACACTGAGGCACGACGCAGTTCCAGAATCTGTCACTTGTTATCAGAGCGATAAATGAGCTGCAACAGACTTAGGCCAACGTGAACATACAGGGTCTGGCTTGCATTGTGCGATCTCCTGCTGGCCGACCAGAGCCCGAATGCTATTATTTACAAAGCCCGTTCACTTTATCCTCAGCGTAACCTGATCCAGCTCCAACCCTCCAATCGCACGTGGTGATAAATCTGGCCCTGGCGCAGAGGCGGCGTCCAGTTTGTGTGAACTGGTTCGGTTTGTGTGTTGTTGTTTTTTTTCGCGAGGCAGGTTAGCACCTCGGGGGTCGCAGAGGAAAATGAGGCACCAGACACAGGCGGTGCAGCAGATGACCAGGCCCACGGCCAGCACGGCACGGTCCGCCACCTTCCCGCTCAGCCAGCGCACGAAGAAGAAGCCCAGGATGACCTCCACCCCACACAGGCTGTACATCAGACTGTTGCCCAGCTCGCCGAAGCTGAAGTAGCGCTGCGTCAGAGGTGTCACCATGGTCTAGATTTAGAAAGACAGTCGATTAGACAAAGCGGATGAGTCAGAGGAGGAGGAAATTCTTATTAGAGCTGAACTGAGCACTCAAAAGCAATTATATAAACCAGGTAAGCAAATATGACTTCCATTCAGCACAGTGCCTTAGTTTCACTTGAACTGACTCCTTTGGTTTATTCTCTCGAAGTTAATCTTTCCATTAAAACCCTTCGACTGATTCAGGGTGGATTCATTCCCGTGTGTAATCGCCTAGAGAAAAAATGTTTCACAACTGAGGCTCTCGACGGCGGCTGCTCTCACCTCCAGCGCCGTCTGGTTGAACAGAGTGACGAACTGGGCCGTGAGGACCACAACCACCTCCTCTCTCAGGAACTCTGCACGGAGAAAGACGGAGAGACGGTCGGCAAAGGATGCGAGAGAACGATTTTTAAAAAACGAGTTTGAATAGTATCTAAAAGAACAGATCCAGAAGTTGGATAAAATCAAGGATTTTAATGAAAATAGAAAGCCTGAGCTCCATTACAGGCAGGACCAGATCCTGGCTTTCACGGTGGACCTTGAGTTGCCCTTTTACTGCAGATAACTTTGGTTTCTGAATGGGGCCCGCATTTATAACTCGTGACAACACACGAGAGGACCAGATTTTAATCAATTCAGAGTATTGAAACTAGCTTTTTCTGGAACTAAACCCCCTCATGGAATTAGGGAGGAGGAAAATGAGCTGCTAAATTTGGACCTCCACGCCAGATGGCTGGAGGAGCGGCTTGTTATTGCATATGCAGTTTACTGTGGTTCACTTTTCTCTGCTCGGTATTTGCAGTATTATTTGTGTGATTCTAAACTTTTGTTTATTTATACAGATGCATTTCCTGAAGGTAGTGGTTATTCATTTTAAGAATGCAGGGTTTTTGTGGGTTTAAGGGCTCCTGCAGTGATTTGACATAGTATTCCATAAAGCTAAGAGGGAGATTTTTTAAATAAAACAGTGCAGATAAAGATTTTTCGCTTCAGAATCTAGTGCAAGTCTGGATTCATTGGAATATTTTTGAAAAAGTGGATAAATCAAAGACAGTGTTTGATCACTTTGAAGCAATTGCTTACACAGTTAAGGATAGGAAACCTTTAAAAGCTCTCCTTTTTTCAAAAGCCTTCTTAGAAACACATTCCATCTCAGGTAGTTTTCCAGAAATCAAATGGAAAAGAGAAAAGGGTAAATAAAAAGATTTTCTGGGTTAAGAAATAATATATTTATATATATTTAGACACATTATATGCATAAAGACAGCTTAAAACAACAGGGTCAAAATGGTTGAGCACTTTAGACAGGTTCTGTAGTCCAGCAGTGACTGAATTGTGGTATCACCATGGCAGTCCCAACCTACAGAATAATGTGACCGCTGTCATCTTCTCTGTGCAGCAGCTCAGAATCTTTTAAATTCCCCGGCTCACCTGTCTTTGACTTTGTGTCATTTTCCACAGAGCTCAAGGAAGTAGCAAGAATTTTTAACAGCTGTATATATATAAAAAAGAATAGAATTATTTCTAAATTTTATCAACCAGATTTATATACACAATAGAAGATGGGAAAACATATATAATGCTGATTAGACTTTAAGAACTTTAGAATTTAATGTTAATGTAAATTACATTGAGTATTCAAAATAGTTAATCAATATGCTGAATACAAAAAAAATTCTGATAAATTAGTGAAATGGGCAGAAATAATAACCACAGTCATTAGCCCCTCTTGCTGCAGAGCATTAAAACAGATATGACTGTATAATCGAGAAATATTCCACGGACTCTGAACCATCTTAATCAGTCATTAATTAAATCAATCAAAGAGGCTATGTATGAACATGACTCAGAAATTCCACTGCTTCCTCCAACACTAATTCAAAATGGACTGGGGGAAAAGCGCAAAGATGTGCTGTATTTAAACAAATAAAAGATTTATTCCAAATCACAGGCTCTGCATCCTCAATCAAAATAGCTGGTGATTGAAAGGTGCACTAATTTCTACTAAACTGACAACTTGTACATCTGGAAAAGGCAATTGTCAATGCTGATATATATATATATATATATATATATATATAAACAGGTTTTATAAAAGCATAATACAACAGAATAGCTGTGTAATGGGATCTTCCATGTGGTGGACTAGCCTGCCTGCAGCCCAATCCAACAGAATTGATGTATCGTGAAACAAAAAAACTAATCAACAAAGACAAATGCAGCAACTGACAATAATGGCGCAACACTCTCCTAAAAGTCAAGCAAACCGTCCACTCAGATGTTTTCAGCCTAATTAAAAGATGCTGGGACTTAACACATAAATGAATGTGGCCTAGTGCCATTTCATCACTTTTTAAACAGTCCCAGAACCTTTTGGGAGAATTTAGGTTGTATACAGCCACTTAACCAATATAGATTGTTTCCATTAGTGGAGAGAGATTCATCTGAGAGATTAATCGGCCCAGATTTTAAGGCAAGATAAATAAGACTAATCAGGTAAGGAATAGGATTTGTCTGGCATGTATTTAGACAGCAATTTTTTACTAAAAGGAACATGAATTATTATGAATACACATTGCATGCAACACAGTTGACACGCCGCATATTCATTCAACAGTGCAGAAAGTGAAAACTCCTAGCAGTTGGCAGACAGCAGAGCAGCCTTCCAGAGGGATCACAAAAAGGAAGACTGCATTTGAAAAGGCCACAGCTGAAGTTTTTTTTTTCTATAAAGAATGAGAGTAAACACCCTGACAGTTTTGCCATAATGGCTATACCTCTGACAATCAAAGTGCCTGAAAACCGACGTAATTGTTGCTGTTTTTCAGCAAGACAAGAAAATGGTCTTGTTTGTTTTGTGGGGAATTTGTCTATTTCTATACAGTTATCGTAGATATGTCGCTAGATATTGTCCATCAATGACTGTATTTACCACGGTTATTGGTGTTTGCCCAACTCGATGATCTCCTAACTAAATGTTGTGGATGTATACGTTTGTATTGTGCTTTTAAGGGGATAGATGGGGGGAGTTTTGTGGTTTGAAAATCTAGATTTGTCTTGATTTGGTAGAACCATAATCAAATGAGAGAAAACTGAAGTCATTGCCAGATGCTAAATTCAAATGAATGTGTTTGCTGAACATAAAAGAATGTATTTGTGATCAGTAAAATGCCTTATGATCCACTCATCACCATTCATTTCCAATTAACTGAAAAGCCACATAGAGGAGTTGAAATATCTGAAAGGAAAGATCAATCTTTTGTTTTTTACTCAGTAACCCCTTCCAGAAATAAAACCTAATGAAAGGAAGTGTACGATGTCCAGGCTTTTCAAAAGCCCATCAGAGATACGTAAAAAGTCCAGAGGAATCAATAATTCAGGACAGCAAGTACCAGACACACTGTAACAGCTCAGAAACACACCTAGCGTATGAGCTTAGGCAGACATCCTCCGTTTCTGCTGAGTTTCTAGCATGGCAAGACAAACAGAAATCGATAGGACGAATGCTGGCCACATTACCAATTCTGTCTCCATTTCATCCACAAGTCAACCACAGCAATCCAGTCAATAAACAAGGAGGCCTGCAAGCCATCTCTTTGCCTCATCTTCAGAGAGTGAGAGAATCGATACGAGAGTTTGACATGTGGACACACACAGACACACAACACGAGCGTATCCTTTTTCAGACGTGGCACATTGCAGAGCCACAGACGTGTTGATGGTTTTGTGGCCACATTTGTGAGCCCATTCGTTGATACTGCGCCAGCTCTTACCACTAGGGAGATATAAGAAATTTCAGGGGACTCTGCAAACATATTACATTTGATTGAAGTTCATTCTGACCACTGAATTAAACCAAAATATAAAAAGGTTTCAGTGATTTTTAAACTGTTAAGTGGGACAAAACGCTAACATTCAACAGCCCGGTTGATGGAGAGGCTAGTGAAATTCATAGATTTCTCTGATCACATTAAATAAGGGCTTAACGCAACCACTTGTCACGATTCTTACCTTTTTCTGATCTTTACATTGAAACTAATTCTTAATCTAGTCTTAAATGTCCTCACACCGGTTTCAATTTCAGCATGGTTCTCATATTGTAAGTTGTACAAGAACACACACTGACGCAATCAAACACACAGATATTCCAACACAGCAAAGATGAATATAATAAATGATGGCACACAATCAGTGGTTGAATCGCATGGAAGCCTACTATGATGGTAATCCAATAAGACATCTGACATCACATATCTGTATACATCCATACACAATTGTATAAACCTTACACACACACGTATCACGACACACGTACAATCAATACACCGGGAATCTGATCTGACACGCTGCACAAAATTCCTCGGAGAAACAGGATGAGGGGAAATTGAACATAGCTGTCTGTGTGAGTGAGAGTGCGTACAACTCTAAGGAAATCAATAGAGCAGATCCAAAACACGTGTATTGACTGTGACACCTCTGTCTACATGAACCTTTACAAACAGGCAGGAGGAGGAAAGCTGACAGTCATTTCTCGGGACAGCCAGTCAGATCCATGAACTCACCGCTGCTGGCGCTGAAGTTCTTGAACGGGTTCGAGGTTCCCCGGACGGGCTGAAGCTCAGGCGAGGTGGAAGTCTCCACTTGGTCGGAGTTTACAGCTCTGTAAGTCTGCGCCATCTCCTCATCTGACCCCATCAACGGCGCCTCCTCTCCTTCCTCCTCTTTCGTCTCCATCATTATGGCTCCACCTTCTGAACTGACGGGTGGTAGGTCCCAATACATTGCCAGCACAACAAACTGGACCAACACCCACAATAGGCACATAAAGATCTAAGAGCGAAGAGGAAAAAAGAACAAGACAACCTGCGTTACATTCATTTCTTTAAAGTGAATACCAAAAAAATGTGTTTTCAATTCCATCTTGATCCCACAACTCCATCATTATTCCATTCAAATGTAATCAAGAGCAGGCAGCAGAGGAGGTTTGCCACCTTGCCTCTCTCAGGTGATCCCATGCCACAGTTGTTTAATTAATGTTTTGTAAGATTGAATTCGACAGATACAGCCGGGTACAGGCTGAGGCATCTTTACAGTTTTTAAAGAAAATCTTATTAAAAAGAGAGAACAAAGCGTGTAAAATCACAGAGAGTGACTGTTTCGTAAGGTTGTTTTTGTATGCACAGGTCTTTCAGGGAACCTCAGAATACTGATTTTTTACCCCAGGGGAAGTATACTTGTTCACAACAAAGGGCCCCAGTTTGAAATCACACAGCCGCAGGAACAAGTTGAACGCTGGCCCTGGAGAGACAGGAGGAAGTGCTTTAAAGACAAGATAAATGGAGTATCTGTGAAGACTTTGGCCTGCACCTTTGTGATTCTATTGAAAGTTCTTTTTTTCCTTGCAGCTAAAAGGAAACATCAAAGAAAACATCTCAAAATCCTTCTCGAATGATGACGTTTAACAGAGAGCAGAACGCTCTAACATCGGGTGAGAGGTGAGAGTGACGCTCGTCTGTCCGTGGGGAGAGGAAGAGGATGAACTGACCAACCAGGAGGCCAGCTTGTCGACAGGCCATGACGGCCGCAAAGATACCAGCACGCTCCTCTGGCAGAGTGCTCCGCGTGAGGAAACCAAAAATGGAGGAGCCCGCTCCTGCACCGATACCTGAGAGGAAAGAGATAGAACAGTCACGTGGACTGAGAAGCTGTTACCTCATTAACAAAATTTTGTGTTGAAATGTTTTCAATGCTCACTGCACAACTGTAACCAAAGTACCAATTTTATTAGGAATGGCAAAACAAAGCAAGAACTATGCTATGGCTAGGTTTTAGGATGGATGCTTTATGTTTTACTGTCGGTTAGGTTAAAAAATGCTTCGTCTATTTGGAATTGACTGAGTAATTTTGCTGATTCATTAGGTGATTGTGTAAAATGTCATTTAAATGAAACCAGATGAAAATGAATAATAATGGTTTAAAGGGAAAATTAATAAACCTATGAGTTTAAATGAAAACGCTTAGAAAAAATGTGTCTACCATTGATAAAAATTGTTCATTGTACAAAAAAATTGTGATTTGAAACTTTTCCAGATGATACTCTAAAATCTGTCACAATTTAGCTGTGACATTAATGTTAACTTGGACAAATAACGGATACATTTGATGATTTACACATGATGCTTGTTTTTCTGTCTTCATAAGGTAATTGTTTTTGTAAAACCTGGTGGTCAAGTGTGTATTTTGGGGGCAATTAATGTTGAGACCCATATTTTCAAAATTTTTAAAGTTTGGTTTAGAGTTAGAATTTAAAATTAGGTTATATTTAGACTTTTTGAACTTTGGGTTAGGCATTTACCTATTATGGTTAGGGTTGGGGTGAGGGGCACTAGAATACATCATCATTACATGAATGAAACACAACACTGACAGAAAAAGTTGGTAGAGGCGTGTGTTTGTCACCTGCCACAAGCCGACTGCATAACAACAGCCACTTCGAATAGCCAATGAAATACATGAAGTTACCTGAGGAAGGATGAAAATGAAATGTCAGCTTTGGGAAACATTTGGTTCAGATAACAGACAACCTTTTTGCTTAAAACCTATAAAAACCTTGAAATGCTGACCTTGTAACTGTTCCACTATCTTCAGCTGAACAATTTGCATGCGTTTTGTGATGAAAATACCACATTTTGGGATAAACACAACATCCAGGAAAGTGTATTTGGCTCTGTTGGCGCTGTCAGTGTTGCCCATTTTTGAAATGTTGACTTTAGCTCTTAGCTAGAATTTGTTTGTGTTGAAATTTCAAGGGCTGCCAGGATGCTATGAACATTTCAAGCAAACTGTCTCTCCCTCTCTATCACATACAAACACACATACAAACACATGTTGTTGTCCACACACAATTCTCATGGAATGCAAGAGGGGGGACAGGGGGGGGACGACAGAAAGTTAATTTAAACTGTCATGTGATATGTCTGGTGGTTTGACTACTTACCAGCAATCTCAAAAAGATTGGAGAATAGGATAATGAATTTTGTGGTTTTGCAGCGATCCGACCACAATCCGAAAAGTGGACCTGTGAGCAGCCCACTCAGACTGAAGGCAGACAGACCCAGACCCAGGAAGTAAGGTGGAGCCTCTAAAATCTGCAGGTACCTCCATATTGTAGGTAGAATGACAGCTGAGAATATCCCATAGGGGAATAGGGAATGTTGGTTATAGAGAAGAGAGAGGAGACATGTACGCCCACAGCAAAGTATATCAAACTTAAATTAGATGTCAAGCCTTCTATGATGAGCGCTTACAGCCAAAATTGACAAGTAGATCTTCTCTTTGGCTCCAGTACTGTCTTAGAAAGATGTCATTAGAAACTTACCGTACTCTATGCCGCTCAGCATGAATATCAGCCCGATGGTTAGAAAGGTTAGGTTCCTCTTTTGCTTATTATCCATTGTTCTCATTTACTTGCCGCTTTTTAAAAACTGATCTCTGCCGGTGCATGTTGGACTAAAACATTGAGCTGAGGCATAATCAGATAACAAGAGACACCATGCATCCACTTACGGCTTCTGGTCCAGAAAATTAGAGGAAGAGGGTTGCACCATTGAACATATAACAACTTCTCAAGGACAAAGAGCAAAAAAATGATGGTTCTCCAATAGAAAGAGCTAAACAACAGCGGAGTCCTGATCCAGGGGAGCATATGTCAAATCCACCGTGAAAAACCTTTGCATTTTAGAATAGCAATGCCGTTTCATCTAGGCGTTTATATTTAAAAATGAATTCTCTTTGAATCATGTGCAGGAACATGCTGTGAGCTTCATGGTCAAGGCAAGGGCTCAGGTTGCTAGCAGAGGTAAGGTAGCCTGCGCTTTATACATTTTTAATTTTGTTTTCTTCAGTTTCATCAAAAGCCCTCGCTTCTGCCAGAGCTCAGAAAGGAAATGTGAAAAGTCTATCTTCTTTAGTACATCGTGGTCATAAATCATTTTCTTTTCTTTCTTTCTTTCTTTTTTTTTTACAGAAAAGTGAACTCAGTGTTCTTTTACCTACAAACAAATACTTAAAAAATGTGATCTACTATAACTCTATTCCCATAAAAAGTTTGAAAGAGCTCTTACGTGGAAATAAAATTTGAAAAAAACACTTTTTAACCTTTATTTTCAGTCTTTTAATTACCTGCTTCATTGTATTTTGAAATTGTGAATAACCCTAGAGTTTGATACCAGCAATATTCTCAATTCATTGGGAAAGAGTCTGAGAAACTAAATTCATAGAACATACATATAACAGCATTATGGATGATTCTACAATATGCATTCAAACTTGTGACATTTGAGAATTCTCTGAGTCACTTTCAACAGATATGTGATCTTTCCCAGCATGAAAACTCGACATGTTTGTCCAACTGCCCAACATATATATATATATATATATTACAGAAATATCCCTCTGGGTTGGAAAACAGCAGAGGCCACTGTTAGATGCATGTGATCAAGCCCCTCAGACTGTATTTACGGAGAAATCGTCATGTGGCATACTACCGTCATGTGACCAATTCAGGTTCAGGCTTAGTAGTTCCTCAGAAAACCGTTGTGACTCATCCTAATCTGCCGCTACATCCAGAGAAATAACCTGCATCCGTCTCACAGACGGAGGAAGCCACGCATTCATTAAGAACATCGCAACAGCGCTCTCATTCAACGTCATCTGAGATTAACACAAAACACACAAAAAGAAAACATGCTCTCTCTATGGTCAGATGAGTCCATGTTTCATTTTCTTTTGGATAAAACGGCCAAAGATTGGAAAGACCATAGTAAATCCTTTAAATCCTTTTTCTGTCTACTGCCATGTTTAGCTTAGATGGTGTCACCCTCTGGCTGTCAGCAAATGATACTCCTGGGGCCAAATTGACTTCCTGTCCTCATTACCCATCCATTACTCTCACCCCCAACCGGCCAAGGCAGATGGCCGCCCACCCTGAGCCATGGTTCTGCTCGAGGTTTCTGCCTGTTAAAAGGACGTTTTTCCTTGCCTGTGTCGCCTAGTGCTTGCTCATGGTGGGAATTGTTGGGTTTCTGTAATTAACTTCAGAGTAGGGTCTGACCTGCTCTGTTTGGAAAGCGCTGTGAGACAACTGTTGTTGTGATGTGGCACTAGATAAATAAAATTGAATTGAATTGAAATTGAATTACCTATAACACTCATTCCTGGTGGGGTCGTGGGGGGGTGCTGGGGCCTATCCCATCTGGTGGCAGGTGAGAGGCGGGGTACCCCCTGGACAGGTCGCCAATCAGAGATGTACAGTAGCAAAGTAGAACTACTTAAGTACTTTACTTAACCCTGTAATGCCAAATGTATCATATTTCATATATACGGTTTCTGACGTCTTTTGGATCTGAGACTTTTTGCATCATTCAGTGGTCAAACCCCTGTTGTAGAGATTCAGATATACCTGATAACAGCGAGTAGAAGACTACACAAAAGTATATTTTTGACTTATTGCACGCTCATTTGAACAAAATAATTTAATTTTTTTTTCCTTCATATTTTGTTGAGGGGGCAAAGAAAGACTTCAGACTAAAAAAATCCAATATTCTTCCCATTTATCTTGGATAAGGCTTTAAAGGGTTAAGTACCAAAATGCAGTATCTGTACTTTATTGGAGTATATATTTTTTTCCCTACTTTTAATATTACTCCACTACATATTTTTGATTAATTTAATACTTTTTCTTTCACGGGCTGAATCGTTACTTGTTACTTATATGTAAACATAATGATCATAGTGCCAATGCCAGAGCTGTAAATAGCTCTGTCATGGTTTGTGAAGCTGGCTCATCATTGGGCGATTTGAGCGATCAAGCATATCCTATAAAAGAAATACCTCCCGAAAGATTGCAAAATTGTATGTGACCTACTGGGGGAGTCCCAAGCTGCTGGTTAAGAGATAAACCTGATTAGGTTGACCTAGAGGCCGTGGTTAACTTGTTGATGGACGAGCTTGATGCTTCATGTTGATGCTTCTGGGCTGTTCCATCATAAGGTTCACCACCAGGCTTAACTTGCCCCTCTGGCCTTTTGAGATGTTTTATTTGTGTTTTGTTTTCCATTTTTGTGAACACCTGTATTGTCCTTCACATGTTTTAAATAATAAATAATAATAATAAATAATATAAACAATATCTATCAAACTTTTGACTGCCTTTTTTTTTTATATACACAGTACTTGTCCTTTTACTTATACTTGCACTTTCAATATTTCAGTAGCAATTTCTTTAAATACTTCTACTTGCAATACTTAATTTAAAAAAAATGGAGTACTTCCGTACTTCCACTTAAGTATGGTGTTGAAAGAACACTTCAACTTTTACTCAAATCAGTTTTTATATATAGTACTTGTACTTTTTTCGGCGTATGTATTTTTTTTTTTTACACAATGAAGTTTCTGCCTATTTGATATGGGGTTGCCAGATTTTTTAAGCAGCTGTGGCCTTTCCAGCCTTGGGCTTGTTATCCTAAACTGAACTGTCACCAGGTTAATACCTCCATCTGTTTTCCAGCAAGCCATGAATAATAAAAGGAATTTTGATTGTTTGAATAACCCATGCAAACTTGCTGAGCATCTTGCACTCCTGTAACACAGCCTCTGCCCAATCTGAGGGGGTTTCAAGCTCCACAGATCAAAAGGGGATGAAACACCACAGGACTATCGCGTTTCGGTAAGTACGTCCTCCGTATTTGTTAAAAAGTGTGTGAAATTTGGCTGTGTGATATAAAAGGGTAACCACACTGTTGCCACTGTGTGTCTTGTGCTCTTTTTTATAAATATATTCATGCACTTATGCCAGTGCAGCTTGGCTGTGAGTTGCATTTTCAGTCTGTAAAAAAAAAAAAAAAAAGTTATCAATCAACAGGGGCTCATCCATCCATCCATCTCCGCTTTTTTCGTGGTAAACAGCTCCAGCTGAATGTCACAGGCCCGGTGAGAGGCCATTAGCATGCCTCTTGCCCTACCTGCGGCGGTTTCTATAGAAACGCGCAAGAGTGGAAGAAGTTGTCGCGCTCACCTTTGAGCTTTGGTAAACAACAGGACGTTCCCTGGTGAATGGACTACGGTGTGGTGCACTTAGTCACGGCTCCGGAGTCTGCCGGTGATAACAGATGCTCATCTGCTGGCCAAAGAATATTTAACTTTTGAGATAGTGAGAGGCTGTTTGGTTGGGTAGACGTACCTTTAGGCTGGGTGGGTAGCTGAGATAAGAGTGGGCATGTTCTTGAACACGGCTTCCCCCCGGAGGTCGTTTAGCATCCCCATTACCATCAACCTGCATGGTGCTCGCAGGCGGCAGACACGGTAAGAGCTGAAAATCGGCTGAGTCAGTCATCAGGACTTTTGAAAACACTGCTGGGAGTTAATTATGATGCAAAAACATTGCTGACTGTTAAAAGTGTTTTGCAGTGTTGACACTGGAGGTGTCCCCATGTAAAAAAAAACAAGAAACATTCCTGATTTGTAGCATTTAAAAAGGAAAATAACACTAATTTTGTCATAAATCTTTGAGGTAGTGTCCATTTTTGTTTAAAAAGTCTTAAACTGAGAAATGCTTATTGCATTTTTCAACAAGGAAGTTGGATTTTGCAGATTAAAATATGTGAACTGACCTGATTTTTTTGGCTTTTGAGTAATTTCAAATGTGTCAGTGTGTTGAATCAGAAATCCAGTCTGAGCTGCAATCGAATTTTTGAATCACCCATGTATTCATGTGTGTGCGTGTGTGTGTTTGTGTGTGTGTGAGAGACATTCTGAGTTTTTTCCCACACCGATAACGCCCGAGCAGCAGTGGAACAGAGGAGCGGCCGGACGCGGGGGCCAGGTAGCTCGAACCCAGATGCCGGCTTCCAGCGTGGGCGAAGATCGAGCCATCCTGCTGGGCTTCGCCATGATGGCCTTCTCCGTGCTCATGTTCTTTGTGGTTGGCATAACCACTGTCAAGCCCTATCTCAATAGGTACTCTCATACAAACTAAAGAAACACTTAAACCTCGTTCATTTGCAAAGCTCTCTCTATTTTTTCCTCTGAATGTTGACCACAATTCTGACCAATTCTGATACTGGACGTAGGTCTCAGACAGAAGCGGGCTCAGATCAAATTTACACCCAGCAAATCCAGGAGATTGTCCATTGTTGACACTAAAAACGGACAATTGAGGTGCCACATATATGACACCTCGGATCTAACTGTCTCGGAATTGTGTTTGAGGAGACTGTGGCTGGTGGTATAAACCTTATCTCAGAATAAGAATGATGGACAGCTGCCGAGGGTGGATCAACATCTGGCCTTCGAACTGCCAGGAATACCCCCCCGACAACAAGGGATTCAAGCCTGCTTGCTAGTCCGCATGTACTGTAGAAAAGCATGAATTTACCATATGCCTCTCTAAACCTGTCATTTGTGACTCTCTTCCAGTTTTTGGGAGAAGGAGGCCGGCTGTGTGCTGAAGCAGACTGAGATCCTGGACCAGTGGGTGGACTGCAGAGGTGTGAGCACGGCGCCCTGCCTGCTGGTGACAGTGAACCTCAACGGCTCTGAGCAGGGAGCTTTTCTCCACTTTGACGAAGAGTCTGTCCTCCTCGCCAGCGAGGTATAATGGCGGTTTCGGCCTCTTAAATCTTTTATGTGCCAGGGGGTTTAAATCCGCTTCGGGGAATTTATGAATGCCAAGCAGGATTGCGGAGATCCTAAGGTGCTAGATCTGAGAAATACAAACTTTAAAAAAAAAAAGAGACTTAAGGGACACAGCACTGTCAATTCTTATATCTTTGTGACTGACGTGAACAGATTAGGAAGATCCCATGAGACTGTGTGAAGGGTTTTTTTGCGTCTTTGGCTGTAACGAGGCAATTGCGCGATAAAAATGCTATAAAACTGTTTTCCATCCCCAGTGTTTTTACATACCCAAGTGCCAAATGGATCAAGAAACTCTGCAAGACGAAGTGCAGCAAGTGAAAAGCGTCTTGGACGAGCACCTGGGGAGGACCTCTGCCTGCCTCGGCGACCGCGTGAGGCACGCCAACCACGTCATCCTAAACAGGAAGTACACTTTCAGGAGGGCCCTGTTTGGACTGTTGTGGCCCTGCTTGATGCTCGCGGGCGGGGCCCTGCTGGTCGGCCTTGTGAAGCTGACACAGTACTTGGCCCAAATGTCCACTGAGATGGGCGGCGACGCGTCCGGAGGAAAGCTGACTTCACGATACGCTCAGGGGAAACTGTATAAACTTCTACGGAGATCCAGCATTTATTCTCCCTCGTGATGTAAGCAACAACGTGCCAAAAACAAAGTTTGTAGTCATAAAATTCACACATGATGAAGCTGGAATGTATGAATATTTTTACTCAAAGCAGCTTTGAAATAAAACATTTTGATAGAACTGCTATTTGTTCATTTGTCTGAACATTTGTTCATAAATTGTTCATACATATACTCCATGTAACGGATCACATGAACTGGTAAGGGTGTCAAGATTGGATATTAAAGTACCATTTACTAAATATTTAGTCGCTCCCACCAAACAGTGGTTCATCACTCTTGCAATTTGTTCCCTTCTCCATTAAATCTTTGGTTGCACAGCATTTACAGAGCACAATCTTTTGAAGACACTCTGGGGAAATCTGACTTTGCAAAGGTCAAACTAGAAAAAATGGAAACTTGTTGGCACTTTTGATTGGTCCCTCTGTTCCTGCAGCGCTCTGAAAAAATGCCATGCCACCATGATCAATGGAGCCTTGTCTACTTGGGAGTGGCTTGGAAAAGCCATCTTGACTTAACCCAGTCAGATGCTGCATGCTGTTGTGTGTGTGTGGGGTTGACTTACATGCAAACAATACACATCTGTCTCCTTTTGATGATACACGGAGCATCACAGAGAACTTTCAGACAACAACCCGCAGCCAAATTAGTTCATTTGGCAAGAATGGATCCAGGTTTCTATATAAAAAAAAAAAAGCTGTAACAGTTTGAATCTTCAAATGAATTAGGGGTGTTATCAAAGGAAATGGGAACACTATGCTAAATATGCCTTTTTTGTTTATTTTGTTTCTAGCATCAGGGCCTCTATGGCTATAATAATGTGTTCTATTTACAGTAATGTTCATTGAACAGCCTGAAAATAATTGACTTTGCAATTATGTCACAGAGCTTGAAATGAGAGAATAAATCACAGATTTAATAGTCTTATTTAAGGTTCTGTTTTTGTTTTTTTCACTTTTGAAAAACAAAAAACTTTTCGGGCTTTGTGAAAGCTTGCTCCGAGCAAATCGTACGGCCAAAAAAAACAGTTCGGTCTCCAAACTCACCTGGACACAATTTCAGTCCAAATCCTCAGACTGAGAGGCACACGGCGATTTCTGAACCGTTTCTCAAAGTTGTTTGGGATCCAGAGGTTGTCAAATGGCTGGAATACACATTGCAAAAGCGGAAGAAACATGACCATAACTTAGTGGCGTAAAAATGCCTGTCCCGATGTGTCAGCTGATAAAAGACCTACTACAACCAGTTTCTTGTCCTGAGTGTGGTGTGGATTTGGAGAGAAAAAATATATATATTGTAGTCGAACATGTCGTAGATAACGCAGTTTTCCTCCATAACAATTTGTTCCATTTTTGACCCGTTTCCCTTTTGTCAGCTATAAAGCACCCAAAAAATGAACCCACTAAATCTGACATTTTAAAACAACTTATTGTAGACTCGATCCCATTCTTAGGGAAAAAAGTTTTTATTCAACAGCACAATAAATGAATGGGTACAGTCTATCGGACGTACGGGATGGTTAAAACAGGTTAGTGTTGGAAGCTTTATGAGATATACAAAAATGAATACATAATTAACATGACTCTGGTTTGCTTTGAAACATGCAGGGTAGTTTCTTCAAACTTATTGTGCATATAGACTTCCACCAGAAGACGAGAGGTCTCTGTTTGATACTGGTGAACCTTCATTCACCTCTTCTATTAAACATCAAGGAGAAGGCGGCTGGACTTAATATGAGAATGTTGCCTCCTTCTCCTTTTTTTTTTTTTCCTTTTTTTTTCGTTTTTGGTTAGCGGTTACACGTACGAGTTTTGTTTACATTTCAAAATACAAAAATATATTACCTCTATAGTTATTCAAGGAAAGCATTTGCACATGTAGTAGCAGTATCTGTTACCTTCATCGTCACTTTCTTTTTTGTACCTCGAAACAAGTAACAAGATCATTTCTATACATGAAATTCAAGTAAACAACGGGTAAAAAAAAAAAAAAAAAAGATACAAAAAGAAAAGATAGAAAGTAGATATCTGACGACCTCATGCATAATGCAGTGTGTTAAAGAAGCTACCATAGCTAAGTACAAAGGGAAAATAGCATCATTTAGATTTTTCTATAAAGTACATGGGGTTTAGTTCTGTCAGTTGGGGTCCGGCCCACTGCTCTGTATCCTGTACAGAGGCCCATGCGTCCTGGTGGAATCGGTCTCCTGAGCAGCTCTAAGCCTTCAACCGTGTGCAGGAGACACAACCTGGACTTTTAGCGCTACGTAGGGGTCAGGGAGACCGTCTACCTCTGACTTATTCTGTAAAGCTAGAATACTAAGCAGACCTCGTGCACGTGGACCTGTGCAGAGGAGCAACAATCACAGGAAGGAGTACGGAAAGAAGACACTTGGAGGGTTGAGAGAATATCACTTCGGTCACTTTTCTTTACCCGGATGTCGAGAGTCTGTGATTGACAGCGAGGAGAGAGGCAACACTCCATATCGGGCATACTGATGGCTTAGGTAGAAAGTTTCAAAGTTAGTTAGTTGAGAAGCAATGCAAGGACAGGTAAAAGGCAGGGTCTAGAAAGGCAGGTTTTTTCTCACAGTTCGTTTTGCTGGAAAGAAGCAGAACTAAGCCGTTCCATGGCAGCATTTTGCTCCCCCCCCCCCCACCCGACACTGCTCTCTGTGCCAGTGCAATCGGGAAGGTTAGTCTGACATCACCTTGTTTTGTTTTTTCTTGTTATTTTTTTCTTTTTCTTTTTTTTTTGGCATTTACAGTACGCGAGGATCCCAACTTGCATAGTGTAACAGCGCAAGATGCTTAACAAACACTACACAGACGCACCCCTTCGATGGTTTTTAAATGCCGAAGCAAACAAACGCACAAACGGATAAAGTCGCGTTGAGCGGGCGGACATCGGAGAGTTTTTTCATCTGGTCCGTCTGAGCTGGGTGGATGGCGGATGTACTTCGGCTGAGTAATACTGATAGACAAAACAAAAACAAATACTGCAGACATCAGTGCTATGTGGACACACGAGACTTGGAATAATAGTGACTCTTTTTTTTTTTCCTTTCTTCTTCTTCCATTCGCAGTGAACCTGTCGAGTAGTGGGGTTATACGCTTAGTACTTTGGCTCAGTAGAAAATTTACTCGAATAAGGAATATGTGCACCAAATGCATACAAGTATACGGATATCGTGCTGTACAAAATTCAGCCGTCTGGCGTGACATGGCAGGTTAGAAACGCGCTTTCGTAGTTTGCTCCAAAAAGTGTGAACTGCTGGCTTAGCTTCTTCATCAACACACCAACTCCGTCTCGTACTTGTAGTGCTGGGGACTGTTCATACCAGTGTGTGAGTGCTTTTGGGCTTAGTTCTTTTTTTTTTTCTTCTTTGCGCTTGTACACTGCGTACGCACTGATAAACCCAACCTGCCTCATTTTCACCAGTTTTAACATAGGTAGTAGGGGTAAAAAAAAAAGAGTCTGCTACTCTTTTAGTCTGTTAGAAAGTCTTTAGGAAAAAGCTAACTGTGTAGGGATTCACCACTTCATTATGTTCCTCTGTTAATCCTGATAGCTGGAGATACTTTGAAACGAATAAAAAAAGAAAAAGAAAATTCTCCATAGTTCATGTAAAGGCTGATGTTGTCAAGGTCCGTTAGAATTTATAAATTCCTATGAAAAAAACAGCTGAGGTACTCTCCCATCTTTTTAAAATGGGGTTTCTGGATAACTCCGATTTGTAGTGTGGCGAATAATGTTTTCGAGCGACACCGCTGGCAAAACTGTTGACCAGGCCTTCATGTGTACGGGAAAAAAAAAACTTGTTTGTTTGTTTTTTTGTGTGTGTGTGAGAGCTGTCGCTGCGTCGGGCTCTCATGCCCCACCGTGCTCAGTTCATGGCGTGCTGGCGAATTGTGTGGAAGATCCAGTCCATCTTGGTCGTCCAGCCGCCGTGGTGGGCGTCGTTCATCTGCTTCATGAAGTAGTCCAAGGCCTCCTGCTCCGATTTGTCCAGGGCCAGGGTCTTCCGGATGTAGGCGATGTCGTCAAACGACTGCAGCTCGGGCATGCCTGAGCCCAGCATCATGGAGAAGAGGTTGATGAAGAGGTTGGCATGTTGCCGGATTGCCAAGTACGCCTTGTAACACATCTCCTGGAACCTGAATGGGGGGGGGAGAAAACATGCATCTATAAATAACAGAATTGTCAAAGCGGAGTGGCAACCCTGAAGGTTTTTTTTTTTTTTTTTTTAAAGCTGGTTCGGGGCTAGACCCTAACTTAAAACGTCTTTCTGTTTTGACCTGCAGAATATAATCTCCACTCCCCAAAGAACAGCCGTCCACAAGGCCTTGGCGTGGGTTTATGGTGACCAGTCAGACTAAATTAAAGTGTTGAGATCACCGTGTTGAAGATTCCAGGGCCACGGTAGTATTTACCGAGCTAAATTAAAGAGAGAGCAACAAAAACTGAGGTGTAACGTGGAGCTGAAGCTGCAGTCAAAAGGGGGCGTGCTTAGTGTTCCCCTCATTTTCCAGCCATTTCAAATTTAGAAACAAAAAAGGGGTCTCAAAATTCCCCCAAAGGTTTTCAGAAGAAGCAGTAATGTCACTTGTTCCACCCACTTTGCTTCAGCTTTAATAAGCCCTCTGAATATCACAGATCATTATTCATCCGTCACCTTTCGAACTCCCTCGTTTTGGTGCACTCCTGTGTTCCTTTGCTAATAACGATCAGGAAGTCCTGAGTGAGCACAAAGGGCACGCGCTCTCTTTTGTACCCAAACTTCTTCTTTTTGTGGTCGAGGAAATGGCCAAAGTCTATATGGAACAGCTGTGAACACATAACAAAAAAAGGGCGTTTAATAGGTCCCACTGAACTTAACATGAAAAGAAAAAAAACGGAGGGAAAAAATGGGCTTTAGTTCTTACCTGTCCATCATCTTTGACCATAATGTTGCTGTTGTGTCGGTCTCCTATTCCCAGGATGAACGTGGCCACGCAGTAGCCAGCACACGAGCGCGTGAACAGATCTATGGCCTGGTCGTACCTATGACGTCACACAGGGGAAACGCACCGTGGGCTCAAGAGGCTGCTCGGTAACTCTGGGCCGTAAAGGTTTGCGGCTTGAGGCCACTCACATCTCTCCCTTGTTCTTATCCTTGAGCCACTGATGCAGTGTGTGGCTGTTGAACTGCAGTGCCCCCTTCAGTCCTCCTTTGCACTGGATCTGCATGATGGTGTGCGAGTTCCTCACCACCTCGATCAAACCCACGCAGTCCCCGATAGACAGGCAACCGTACGGCAGCATCCTGAGAAATGAAGGGGTGGGGAGCATTACGCAGCAGTGATGGACTCGTATTCTTATGTAAAACGACCTGAGGTGGCTGGCAGGGGCTGCCACTAATCCGCACTGAAGTATGGGGAGCGGAACATGAAAGGTCCCGGTGGATGGTAATGTGTACCTGCATCCCCGCTGTCACGAGGAAGTGAGGAGCCTACCTGAGATCAAGGCCTTGGTTCTGCCAGATGTTCTCCATTATTCTAATGATCTGCAGCGTCAGCATGTCCTGCCTCAGATCTGCAGAGGGAGGGAGGGAGGCGGGGGGGGAACAGTGAGGCGAGTTTTAGTTACTTTGCTGCTTTGATCAACTCGGCGATGCATTATGGAGCAGAGCTGTCAGAGGCGGCGGCGTCTCGGGCGGTGCGGCAAAACGAGCGAGCCGCCGCAGCTAAACGTGCTGCGAACGATGCGTTTGTGGAGCGAAAAGAGCTCGGAGACGGGTCTTTATCCATGTGCCGCGACACACGCCGCAGCTCGGCACAAGCACAAGGTCTCTGCTTGTGTGTGTGTGTGTGTGTATTCGTGTGAAAAAGTAGATATGATCAGGGTGGGGAACTTACCATCTCCATTTTTGAAGATGATTTCATTGTTCTGAAAGAGCAGCTCAGACATCATATCTGGGTTTTCCCAATTTAGCCAGAGAGGCCGCTTTGCGGATGACATCATCCTGCATTCCTCCAAGCTAAAAACAAAGGTGTGGACAATTTTCATTTCAGAGAGACAGAGGAAGTCTGCACGAAGCACGGAGGTGCTCGCGAGCGCCAACTCCCAACAATGCGCAACATTATTTCCCCGAGCCAAGTCATGTGGAATGACTTTACTGTAAAGGGGGGGTGTATCCACTAGCACAGAGCACATCCCATCCCTAAATGCTCCTCGCCCTCAAACAATTCTCACTGAATTCAGAAACAGTCAAAAGCCCTGAAGGGGGAAATAAATTTCGGATTCCGACCGATCCAGAGGACGGAGAGAGATAAGAGAATGTTGATGTACCGGAGGTTTCCAAGCTGATGTGCAGGATTCAGTGGGGAGATAAAGCTTTGCAGTGCATCCATGTAGTCAGGCCTCCTCATCTGCTCCACCAAAAACTTCATTTGAACCTTTAAAGAGATAAGAAATCCATCAGTTACTTATATTCTGGTGCAGAGAGCACAGGTCAGTCTGGAAGAAGGAAAAAAAAATCCTTCTGCCCACAATTTCTTCTTTAACAAATATCAGATGAGGTAATGATGCCTCACAGAGGGGGCTGTTTCGGGTAATGACATGCACCCTCTGGTGGGCGTACAAGAGGATCACAGCTTTTTGGGAAAGATCAGTACTAGCACAGGTTCTGTAACCCACGTCAACTGAGATGCATCAATTAGAAGCGGGCAGTCTGGCCGCCTGATCTCACTGATGACGCTTTCCTGGGGAATCACTTCTGCTTCACTATATCAGTAAATGACATCGCTCTTTGGTCTCTACCGCTCTATGTGACCTGAGTCAGAGCCTGACTGGGTGTGACAGGATCATGACGGACGATGGAGCCCATGCATGTGGCAGTTTTCGGCAGAACCAACGGCAGGTGGGAAGACATATTAAAGAACTCAAGCAGCCGGACAGAAGCATCGCACAGGCCCATTTTCGCTAAGGTATTACAAAGCTCATTGAGATCTGGGTCTTTAAGTAAGGTGCCATTCATTTGTGTGTGTGTGTGTGGGCAACGACAAAAAAAACGGGGTGGCTTTATTGTTCGGCAATTCTATTCAAAAAGGTTCTTAACTGGTACTAAAATTATACCAACTAAATGGGAAATGGTCGCTTCATCCTGATTGAACATTCTCAATCTGCATTTTTACGGTGCACTCTCAGACGGTTAATGGAAAAACTCCACCGTTTACAAGAGATGTTTTTATGCTCACTTGGGTGTTATTTTTGCCTTTTTGAAAAAGCTGTTGAGAGTAGAAGCCGTAGTAAACAACTTCTCCAAATGAGCTGTGAAGAGGTGAGCATCTATCATAATAAATGGCATAATCATCATCATAATAATACACCAGTTTTGGGACATAATGACCAGGTAATCTGACATGGGCCTGAATGCAAATCAAATTCTCTTAGGTGTTACTTGATGTTAGCAGGTGTTAGCTGCTTTTCTAAACTAAAACAAAAATGTTATATAAAAATGAAGCCACAGCTACTTGTTGTAGTGTCTATAAACCTTAAAACTAACAGACAGCAAAGAAGATGACTTGTTCTGAACATGAAACTTTAGGAGCCCAAAAAGTAGGCCCGCATAAGTAACCTTTCTGTGGGGTAACATTTCAAGAATTTGATTTCAAGTTAGCCTCACAATATTTTCATGGTAGCTTTCTAATTCGAAAACTAACAAGCTAACATTTCATCAGGCTAACCGCATCAAAGGCAACAAGCTAGTAACAGTTTCTGGGTTATTGTAGTCTAGTTGAATATATATGATATCAAATATGTATATAGATTCATTTACACCTAAAAAGCAATGTAAGAAAAAAGAGAAGTTTGTACACTTTTCACATGTGTGGAAACTAAGCTTTGTAGCTTTTTTGTTGCCCACAATGTGGTACTATGGTCTTACTACAGCAGCTAAGAGGGAACATAGCTATCATTATTTCTAGCATGGGCATTTCATGTTTGTTCCCCTTAACTGTAGTTTGAAAGGGAAGTATGGAGACAGTGTTTAATTGTGCCTGTAGATGTCACAAAAAAGTGCACACATTCGCTTTATTCACTGACTATTGCCGTAAGGACTGCTTGCTTTTTTACTTTTTCTTTTAAGAGGTGTCTTTTCTTAGTGTGGTTGCAAGCTAGCAGAATAAAGGAAATTCCCAAGCGGCCACATCCTCCTGCGTCGTGGCACCTCTGTTGCTAGTCCAGATGTTGTAAGGACTGAACCTAATGCTTCAATGGATCGCATTATCAGCTGTCTGATTACCTTCTGCGCCTCATCTTTTTTTTCCTGTTTGAGGAGGTCGGTGAGATTAATGAGCTTCTCCATGGCTTCCACCTGTCTGCTCAGGTGCTTCAGATACATGCCGCACGCCCGGCAGTACGACTCCAGCAGCAGGCCGAAGCGTTGGCTCACTGTTTTGTTGTGCATCTCTGATCTTTACACACAAGGGTGGGGGGAAAATAACAACAAAAAAGCAGAACAACAGCCGTTAGGAGGTTCTGAAAACTAATGCATCCACCTCTCGCACAAATACCCACACAGGCAGACGTTCTGCAAAAGTATCTCAAAATTGAACACTTCTGGAGGCCAGATAGTTGTGTGACATTCAAACAACAGTTTAACCTTTCCCATAAAAACAGCTTCATCTTCCTGAAAGAAGACCTTTTTAAATTAACTCACTTTAAATGCCAGAAGAAGAAATGTCCTATCCTCTGATTGGTTAATGCCTTTTTCAGGAGGAAGCGGGCAAGTGGGTTATCGAGGTACTGCTCATACTTTAGGACCTGGACATGGCCACAGAAAAAAAGATGGAAAATCACTTTGGAGCGCCGCAAATTAAGCACCGGCTCACTTATCATAAGAAGTCGCACATGGGGAAAAGTTTCATACATCATTTCCAACCCCCGGGACGAAACACACCTGAACCAGCTGAATGAGGTACTGTGAGAGCTTGTCATCAGTTAGGTATTTCTCAAGGCACTTCACCGCAAAATCCCTGATCATGGGATCGGGAAAGTTGCAGTCCAATAGCTCCATGGCTTGTTCCGGCTTGATGGCGGGCCAGTCTTTCAGAAGGCAGTACATCTGTGGCACGAAAAAACACAGATTTAAGGTCGACGCTTCGACCCTGTTTCGACAACCCCACGTCTGATGTCCCCAACTGAGCCCACCTGTGCAACCTCGTCCCTGGAGTTCCATTTCACTGCCAGGAGGATCTTTGGAAGGATCTCTGGGATATTGATACAGTCGTGCCTTAAACAGGAAAATAATTAATCATATAAGAGTTTTCTTTCCCCAAACGTCTTTATATGCCTCTGTGCGTTACCTGTGCCTCCACAGGAAGTCTTTCTCCTGCTCAGTGATTTCAGACAGCGGGTCTCTGTTACCCACTTGTCGCAGCTGCTCATTGTCACCGTCAGTAAGGGGGTTGTCACGAGCCACTCGGTTGCTCTATAAAACCATGTGTCAGACAGATCCACAGGGTGAACTATCATCTCATCAGCACAGAGCTTATGATGTTAGTGGCGACGCGACTAAAAAGGTGTCTCTGAATCAAAATGGGATCATGTGGTGTTCTTGTCTTACCAAACCGGTGTGGCAGTAATTAAAGCCCAGCTCTCTGGATATATTCCAGTTTGCGTGATCCTCAATGATGGTCATGTCGGGGAACTTGACTGGGCAACTGAACTGGTCGAACTCCAGCTCCAAGCATGGGGTTTCCTGGGTGAAAGTGGTGGAGGGGGTGAGGGGGGGTAAAGGGTTATTCAAGGTCTGTCATCGCAGAAAGGTGCCTGTGTCAACAACTAAGTAATTAAGTGGGATAAGAAGATCGGGTGCTTATAGGAGGGCAGCTTAGTGCTGGCTCTGAAGCTGCACAAGCACCGCAACAGCCGGCCTCCAGGCGCGACGTCTATACCTAAAAACTTACAATGATTACAATTTTAAATTAATATTTTAAAGAAATTATATTCTACAAGTCCATATTTGCTGACATTTACGAGTGTGGAATTCATTCTTATCTCTGAGCACAGTTTTGTTTTACTACAGAGCTGTCGCTTTATGGCTTTTTAATATGGGGAACAGAATAAGTGAGCGTTATTTCAGCAATGCAGCCGTTTGCTGCTCACCTTGTTGGGGTTGGAGCCCGTGACACCGATAGGGTTGAGCAGGTCCTCCAGGCCGTGAGGGACAGGCCACAGGTTGAGAGCCATCTTTCCTGCTACCAGTGTGTGGGTGTAGTCAAACAGGTTGATGTTGCCCCAGGCGAGAGGACAATGCTCCTACAGGAAAAACACCAGTGCGGTGATGAATATGAAAATCAATAGAGAGGAAACAGCTTCGGGGATGGGGAACAGACAGGAGTGGCACAGGACAAAGGGAAGTTCCTTATTTACTATTCAAACATAAACCACTTCTGTCATCTCCTTCGAGCTGAACATGAATAGAGAGAAGTAAAAATAGATTTAAGCATTAACAAGCGTAATATGGATGTCACTTTGACTGATCGTGCGCCTACAAAACACAGCATGGCCATTTTTCCACCATAACTTGTTTGTTTCCGTCTTGGCTGTTTGGCTTCATCTTCTGTTTTTGCTGAACACAATGCTGTTTTGTTTAGTTGTAACCACGTGTCTCTTTGTATTCTATCATATTTTCCCCAGAGTATTTAACACCATCTGTGGCCGTGGGCGCAGCAACAGAAAACAAGTAGCCGTGTGTGAAAGCATTACAGTTGTGACTTGGCATTTCTGCGTTTTGGGGGGCTGACCTCTTTAGCTCCCTTCCTTCCTTTCACCGAGCAGATGGAGAGGCAGAGTCGGGCAGCTCTGGGGATTTCCGGAATGTACATGTCGTAGTTGAGCCACTCGTTCCACCTGGGGAAGAAACGGTTCGACATGTTCGGTCGCGACACTGCCACGGGGTCGGGTGAACTAAAGATGGCGGTCTTTTTCGTGGCGATCTCACCTGGGGTTTGAGCAGGGCACGCGTTGGGTGTTGACGTTGTCGCACAACTGCTCCCCACCGTGGTATATCCCTGTTCTGACATAGATCTAGAGAAGCAACAAGAGCAGAGGCTTTTATTATTTAAGAATCCAGGCGAATCCCACATTGTGAAGCGTAACCTCAGAAGAAGTGAAGTTCCAGTCAGAGTTACAGTCCCAGCAAACTGAAACTGTACCTTATCAATGTCCCGGATGTTTACATTGACGTAAGTAGCACAGAGTATCTTGATCCTTAGCATTCCACTGATTGTCCAAAGCGACTTGGTGGCCGTCTCCCCGTTCATATACGGCGTGGCTGTTGATATCCGCCTCGCGTACGACGGCATGGTGAAGTTGTCAATCGGCAGCTGGGAATACAGGCTGTCTTTGGACATCAGCATCAGATTGGGCATCCTTCCCAGCATGATGCAGCTGCGGACATACTGCAGAAGAAGCGGGTGACATTTCAAGATGGCTGCGATTGTGACATTTTCACGCCGTTCGTGTGGCGTGACACCTCAAAGCCAGCAGTGAAATTCCTGGGCTTATCAACGTATAAATTAAACGCGTTTTACCATTTCGACCCAGCAACAGGCAAGAGAAAGAGTGCTTGAACATAAATGTCAAACCCACTGACGTGATATGATAAGGGTAATTTCATGTGAAGTGGATCTCTTCCAGCTTAAGATGTACTCAGGCAAAGATTGAATTAAATCACCTTGTACTGGCTCAGGGGGTATTTCTCCAGCAAATACTCGTCGCAGCCGCAGACTTTGAGGATGTACTTTCCCTGATACTCTTGGACGCACATCTTCAACTGCTCCTGGGAGAGGAGCATGCTCCGCGTCTTCTTCCGGATGGCTTCGGCAATCACCTGCTCTGGCACGCAGTCGTGGTTGATCTTCAGGGTGTACTTCTGCTTGTCGTTGCTTGGCGAAACGATGACCCATATGACCACAATGATTTGACCTGCGGGAAACAGCATAATTGATCAAAACAAGCCGATTTGTGCACGGGGTGGAGCCGCAATCGGAAAAGCAGGGAAGAAGTCAAATCTGTTTATCACAGCCCGGCACACATCTGAGTCATTGTAATTGCCAATGTAATGGACAAACTGAAGCTATAATTTCTTACCTTTATCTAGCTTATTATAGATGTGCCGGGGAAGTTCTGCTGAGGATTCTACATTCGGAGGATAAACGTACAAAGCTCTGCTGTGAGGTCCATTACTGTCTCTAAGGTCCACAGCTTCTTTGCAAACATTTAGAATGTTCCTTCTAAAGTCCTGGACTTCTGGGTCTTTCACCAAATCAAACTCGCAAATAGGCATTCCAATCGCAAAACCTAAATAGAGGAGGAAAAAAGCAGAGAGTTTCTTTTTTTAGATTAATTTTCTTGTGACATTTAACATAATAATAACACTCTGGAACACAACAGGTTGTATACTGCCAATAGTATTAAGATAATCCCTCTCACTATGGGTACAGACACTGCCAAGGCCAACAGCTGTTACACTGCATTGCTGTGGAGGATTTTTTTAAACAGTAATAATAAGAGCAGGCTCATACCTATCTCCCTATTGAGAATTTTCTCTTCTCTGTTACCCACTGGCTCGATAACTTTGAGGAAAGCTTGAAAAAGTCTTAGATCGCACAGCCTCCGGGTCTCATCATAAAACTCCTCCCGCTCCGCCTCTTGGGTGACACTGACAAAGATGTAGGAGCTCTCCTCCTGCAGCAGATGGTGAAGAGGGTACTTCCGGGCCTCTTTGAACAGCTCGTGCTTGACTGTGATAAGTGTGGCCTCTCTGAGACACTCCAACGTGAGAATCATGCCATTTGGCAGAAGGCAGTCCACTAAGATGCTGGGGGGCATCAAGTGCATCCCCCATAGTTCTCCGGAGGACGGCCTGGGAGGCATGGTTGTGCCAGCAAATCTGCTCCTTTCAGAACCTGGTAATTACCAGAAGAGCGATGTGATGTCAACCAACTGTGAAGGAGAAGGAAACAAAATTATATAAGAATATCATGTCATGCGTCCAGTGATGCAATATGCTTCCATCTATTTTATATACCAGCTTAATCCAATCCAGGGTCACAGCCATTTCACCAGTGGGCAAGACATAAGGTACAACCTGGACAGGTCGCCAGTTATCAATGCAAAGTGTTTGTAGGAAATATGTGACTTTGATGAAAATAAATTCTTTGGACTAACAAGATATAAAAAGGTCAAGAGTACAAATCTTGTTATATTCAAATTTGTCAACGAATCCAAAGGGTTTCAGTAGAAAGTAGCTTTATGTAGTAAAAAAAAATCATTTCTCTGAAATGGAGTATTTCTATTATAATTTTGGGCTTATCGTGATTCAGACAGACACAGATACATTTTATTCTTTTTTGCGGAAGACACTATTTGTGGTAACTCGACTGGCAAACTTTGGCAATGTATCTGGACGCAAATAATCCCAACGGTGATATAAATCGTAAGCGCAAAAAAGAAATACAAAACACGACAATTAGTTTTAACATGACCTGATACTGAGTCATGGAATGACCTACTAAGTTTCCAGCGATGTTGTTTAAATGGACTTCAAACATCATGTAAACAAACTCGCCAGCTAACCCTAAAGCGCTCATTAGTTAAGTGTGGCATATACAGACACATTTCAGCTTGAACCCTGAGCTTGACAGGGAGCTGAACTACTTTTAATTCTGTTAGTCTTGTGCTGCTTTTCCAATTTTGTAAAAAAAAAAATGTTGCCTTTCGGAAAGCTAGATAACAATGTTAGCCAAGTTCACTAAGCTGATCAATGTCATTTGCAATATGAAAACCTCGCCGCATAAATGAGCTAATTTTAGCCTAAAATAAGTATATTAAAGCCTGCACCCAGACGGTTTGCCGTGTGACTGACTGATACTAGCCCCAAGAATGGAAAAGAGGACAAATAGGGGGGGCAAACAATATAACGCTACCTGTGTCAAATAGCTAACACCGACCGGTTAGCCGCGAAGCTAGTCAGCCAGCACCGTCACTAGCTGCGGCTAGCTCGGTTAATCCCATTCTGTACCCGCTCGTGAATTCTCAAGCAGCGGCGTTAGCCCTTACCGTCAGTCCATCTAAACGGGTATTGTAAGGGATCTGGGTAGTCCTTGTTTAGTAGGGGGGAAGACACCCCTAGCTCCCGAAATTGTTGTCATAATATTGTAGTGAAATAAACCAATAAAACTTCATGATGTTCCTCATCGTAGCGTCTAAAAAGAAACTGCAGTGTTTAGTAGCAGGCTAGCTATGCACAGCTAGTCCGCTCGAGGGCTACTAGCATGCTCATCATCTCGGACCGCCCTCCGAGCTAGCAGCTGGAGAAGCAGTTTATCTTTTGGTGGAGAGACTGGTGTAAGCATGGGCAACCTCTTATTCAATGTTCTCTTGGTTGTGAGACGTAGTATATTTTAAGAAATGTCACAAAAGAGGACACGGCTAAACAGTGGTTTGGCTGTTAGTCGTTTACTGAAGACAGTCATATGCGTAGCCCAAAGTGAATCAAATTCTCCCCTCGGCGTGTTTGTGAATGGATCCTTCAGAGAGACTTTTCTGTGAGATGAATGGTCCATTTTACTGCCTCCACCCACGACATAAATTGTTTTTCCAGCTCGTTCTACAGCAACTGTAAAACCAACAGTAAATTGCACATAATGAGGGAAAAAAGTCAATTAGAATTAAATGAACTGAACTCCCAACACTCACAAATGTGGAAAACCACCCAAAAATTAGTCTCATGCTCAAAAATTGAGATATTTTGCCAAAATATCATCATAATTTTAAAAAGTTAAGGAGAAAAACAATCTTCTTATGTAAATCTTTAATGTCAAACCTTTGATAGTTAAAACTTCTCAGTTTGTTATTAAATGAGTCATGTTGGGTTATGTAAAGCATGGACACAGATACATCACACATTTATTTGGCCCCTCATTTAATTAGTAATAAAAATGGGAACATTTCTCAACAGCATAAGCCAGAAATTGATCAGTATTGTCCTCTGAATTTTGAATTTTGTCCTCTAAATGTTCTCATTTTCTTATTAAATGAATCATGTCAGGTTATGTGAATCATGGGCACAGATGTATCACATTTTATTTGGCCCCTCATTTAATTAGATATAAAAATGGGAACATTTCTCAACATCATAAGCCAGAAATGGATAAGTTTTGAACCCATAAATATTGTCCTCTCTCATTGTGACATGAAAGACATGCTCATGGCACGCTAAAGTATACCAAATGCTTGTAAACCACAACTCTTATCAAATGCTTAACACCATGGAAAATACAGTTCTCGTATCCCCAGCAACAGCCAGTGACATATCAAACAGTTTCCACCTTGGAACATTTTGTTCACTTTTATAAACATCCGGACGTTTGCTGCTTTCTCTTAAGTGTCTCAGCCCAGGAGGAAAACGTGGAAGAGGTCAGGGCAAGTTCATCTGGTTTAAACTATCTTATTTTCCATTTCAGACGTCCATCATCTGACCACCGCGTGCCTGCGTTTCCCAGGTGCGGCGCGGAATTCACCTCTTGATCTTCCCGATTTCCTCGCAAAGTCTCGAGAGGTACTGCGTGAGCTTGACCATCACAATGATGAGGGCCCCGACGGTGAGTGTGCACGAGGGCCAGAGCAGCGAGTGGAAGACGACGCTGTGGTCGTAGAGCCGGGTCAGGAGGACGGTCTCTTGCTGCTCGCTTGGGTCATAGTAACAGGGGACCTGCTGGTTCACCTTCAGATGTTCGGAAATGTTTGCGATGATTGCGTACATGGCCGCGCTGTCCTTCTGGCACCGGGGCACGTACACGCACTGTAAGGAAGAGGAGTGAAGGTTACAGGGGTTGGCGAGCGCCCCGCACTTTTTTTGTGTTTTTTTTAGGAGACTGGGGCCAAGTTTTTTGTATTTCTGTGCCCTGAAAAACGAACAGAGTCCTGTCTGCAGGCCAGCATCCAACTGCTGCTGTCAACATTTGAAACGGTTGATCGGCCCTCGGTATTTTCGCTCTGGCACGGTACTCACTTCGGAGCTGGCGTCCTCCGTCTCTTCGTTGTGTGACAAACGACTGACACGGTCCGTGTCATTGACACTCACGTAGACCTGCAGACAAGGGTATTTGGACACTCTCCAGCAGTCTGACCCACAGCTGTAGGAACAGTTCACATCTGCTGTGACCGTGGAGTTGAGCACGACACACACCCCCTCCTCCGTCCACACGCTATATATTACCATTTAAATGAGGAGTCGTTTCGACACGAAAAGGGGAGAAAAAGAGGAAAAAGCGAGTTCAGCTTTGGGTACGAAGCATTTTGGCATATTTGTCTAGTTTCAAATATTAATTTTCCACAATTTTCAGAGTGAGGGAGCACTGAAACAGTTTGTCAACAGGCATATCTGATGAATAAAACATGGTTCTGAAACACATGTCGGAGCAAGAAAACGAGCACTGTGTAACATCTGGGCCTGTACCTGTCCGCATAGGAGCGTATTATGGTGATACCCAGGACAAAATACATCATGGCCGAAGACAGAATCATCGCGAGTCCCAGAAGAATGGCCCGATCTTCTCCCGGCTTTAGAGCCGTCACCGTCTTCTTCTTGTCCAGAAAAGAGTCCACCTCGCGAAATTTCTGATAAATTGACCTGCTGAGAGAAGGTGAGAGGTATTCATTTCTCATAATTTCTCGAAGCTCAAACAGTGTGCGCTTTTCCCCATAGCAACTGATGGCCCACCTAACTCACAGCATTTAAAGTCTGAATTTTCAGGCAGGAAATGGGGAAAAATCTGTTACCTCCTTTCATTTCCCCTCCCCGAAGCTGCAGCATTTTTGGCCCCAGCCACAAAAAACATCTCTCCTGTAGTTACACGTGCTCTTTTGCTCCTGGAAGTAGAACAGTAGGAGTGTCGGAAAGTCATGTGAAAAAAAAATGACATCCAGTAAATTTACCTTAAACTGTTTTTATAAATTTCACATCTATTCCATTGTCACTAATTGATAAGTGAATCAATCTAGAAGAAGATTCATAACCCTTTACCCATGGCGTTTTTTTTTTTCTTATCCTCTATTGGACTGCCGGACACTATTTCTAGATGCGTCCTACTTTAGTAGAGAGTAAAGCTTCTTCCTAAAACCCTGCAAACAGCAGTTTCTTATTATGGTATCCTGGGACAGGAATCACCACTGACTGAGTGAATTCAGGGAAAACATCTCCTTTTAAACTTAAAGACATTTTCCCCATTACAAACAAGATTGCAAGTGGCTACAGATAAGAGGTGTGAATGCTTATACAGAGTGATACAAATGCAGCTTTTGTTGCATGAATTAGTTTTAGCAAATCAGTGACTTCAGCTAAATTTAAGTGAACTTTTACTAACAAGACAAAAAACAGACAGTCAATTAAAACCTACTAAGGGAATAAGAAATATATTTTAAAACATTGTGTGAAAATGATATGAAAAACAAAGTGAACCTTTCTGGTGAAAGATATAAAAAGGGTGAATACAGTTCCTAGACATTGTGTGAAGCGTCTTTATTTCTAAAAAAAGTATAAAACAAATAAGCACATCCTAAAATTCAGCAGGTTTTAGGACAACCTTTAGCAGAAATAACTCAATAACTCTCTTCAACCTAAGAGGTTTTTCTAACCTCTCTTATGACCCTTTCTAACAAGTCAGACATGTTAAGTCGCTTTCTAATCGTTCTGTTTGGAATCTTAAACTCAATATGCTAACTGAGGCCCGACATGTAGCTCTTGGTCTCCAGATAATTAGGAACTTGCCTTATAGCCCTTCCCATATTGATGGACAGCAGCAATTGCCTCTCTAAGATCACGGCTGATGTCTGTCCTCTTTCGAAGTGTGTTATGGAATACCTGAATTCTACAAAGCAGTAAACGGACTAAACTTTTGCATTTGATCAACAGCTCCTGATTGCTACTTACCCTCTTAATTCATATGAAAGTGGTAAGGCTGGACTTATTTATTCATCATACTCTGTTACTTTATTTTGACCTAGATTCTGACAAATAAGTGTTATGAAAAAATGTGTTGTTCGTGTGAGGTTGTATTTACCAAATTTTGAAATCTTACAGATTTTTCTTTTTTACTTGGGATATTATTGGTTTTGTGTTAGTCAGATATCATAAAGTGGTACCGTCACTGGCAAACACATAATTAGAAATGTCAATAGTGAAGTGGTAAGCTGAGGAACATTTTTTTATAAAACGTAAGCTGCTTTCACATGCCAAGAGTGCTTCAAACAGGATATATTTTTAAAAACCCAAGTGTTTTTTCGATGAGCAATTTCCTCATTCTGTCACATTCCCGGCAGCTGAAAAAAAAGGCGTGGGCCAAGTGTGACACAAGGCGTGCAAAAGGAAACCAGGAATGTCATCGATAAATGCGCTCCCCTTTACAAACGTCCACATGAACTTACATGCAACAAAGAGTTTGACTGACATCAATTTTACGCACCGTCTTACTACTTAACCAGCTTTTCTCCTCTGTTAAAGCATGCTGACCGTCGCCACTGGAGGGTTTCAGGTTCCACGCGTGACTGTATAGATTTCAGCTAAACATGGACACACACCGGTTTCAGAAGAGCCGCGTTGCCCCTTGTGTGTGCCGCTCTGAGCAGCGTAAGCTTTTTAATGGTGTGAGAGCTGTGTCAGATGTGTTAGTGCCCCACGCGCAATGCAGGCTGGATTTACGGTGGTGGCCTAACACACTGGACGGACTTAAAGATATGTGGTGCGGACAGGCTCGGTCATGCTTAGAGCTGACCTTGCCAGCCCTACGGAGCTCCAAATGGTTGAAACAAACTCAAGCACTTTAAACGAAAAAGTTTGGAATAATAAAATATTGTTAGCTATGTTCACTGCATTTAAAAAAGAAAAGAAAAGAAAGCTCAATATTTGGACCATGATTTCCAATTCATGTCTTTTTATACAAAAGCTACACAATGTTACACAAAGACACTGGATTTACAAATATGATATATTTGTAAATCCAGTGTCTTCCTCTCACTCTAGACACTCAGACTGTATTATATGCAGCTCCTTTCCTTATTGCCAAGTTTGTTCTTGTACAAAAAAAAAATTTTGTACATGGAGATTATTCGTAAAAATACACTTAAAAAGTATTGAAAAATAGAATGTAAAACTGCTCAAACAAAGGTGAAAATTAGAGTTTGTTAAGCAAACCCCAGCCCCCCACCAAAACGAAAAGGCACATGTGCCTAAACGGTAAAAACAAGTTGATCAAATTTTCCAGCTTTAGAGCAGATAGAATCAGCTGACCTGTTTCCTATAGGTGTGTCTTTAATTCATACTTCTCCCAGCTGCCTCACTTGGCAGTCTTGTGGGAACTAATCTGAGGCTGAATGAGCGATAAGAAAACTAAAAACAAACAAAAACGGCATGCGGGTGGCTGCTGTAAATCAGGTGTTATCTTAAAATGTGAGAGCACACATCACACAATGGACGCAACAGGTCCTGGCTGCAGGGCCAGGTGGCATGGATAGCTTAATCTCAGTTGATAGTTTTATCTCAGTTGGGACAAAATCAGAGAAGTTTGGCTGCACAGGTTTCCGCCAACTCTAAAGCTGAGTGTTTCACTTTGTCTGCAACCTGTAATCTTCAGAGATACAAATCGACTCTCATCATAGGAAGGTGTTACTTAAGTGGAGCATATAAGATATCAACAATCCCAATTAAATTCAGGTTGATCATAATTCTTTTGATTAAAAAAAGGGTCAAAACAAATGTATAATAGCAAATTAAACTGAAATATATACGTATATTCGAAATGGCATGACTTGCTAATACCACAAAAAAGATGTTGAAAATGACTACAAATGAGAAAAACACTGAATTAAAAAGAAACCAAAGGACTGCAGGGAGGTACCACGTTACAACGGATATGCAAAAAAAAAGCAGAGGAGGCGCAGAGAGATGCAAAATGCCCTCACAGATATGCAAAAATTCCAGCAACGAGATGCAAAGATACAAATTATAGCCAGAGAGACACAAAATTACGCATTTGGCAGGCATTTAGCAGACACTCACGCAAAATAACTCACAGGTGTGAGTTCGACGCGACAACAGTGGGAAGACCCGGGCAACACAAAAACGTTTTCAAAGTTCCTAGGTTTTGCCTCCAGCCTTTGCTCTAAATTATAACTTCATAAGAGAGTTTTGATTTCATGTTGCTTTAGATTTCATCTAACAGATTACTTATAGACATAGACATAGACATAGACATAGACATAGACAACTTTACTGTAATTTTGTGTGTACGGAGTGCACACAAAACAAAATTTCATTGCATACATATATATATATATATATGTATGTATGTACATATGTAGATAGATAGATAGATAGATAGATAGATAGATAGATAGATATAAAGTGATAAATTGGAATGTGCAAGATTTACAATACAGTCATTCAAGTAACAGGCATGAAGAAAGCGGCAGCGTGCGTGTGTGTGTGTATATGTGTGTGTATGTATGTTTTTGAGTTGGTTCAGTGTGTGTGTGTGTGTGCGCTTTTGAGTCAAGTGAGTGTTTGCCTTGAATTAGAACAAAAGAAAACTAGGATCAATTCCAGACCCATCAGACAGGAGGGGCCTCGTCTGAATGATCTCATTGTAGCTGTATCCAAATTAAATCTGACCCCTTCTGAAACAATGACACGTGAGGACTGTAGAAGACCCCAAAACCAGCACATGGCCTGTATCGTGGCTGGTCGTGTGGTCATATAGTCTGTGATATAGCCTCTTTTTTGTTCTTCCACAGTATGGCACAGCTTTTGCTATAGGCTTGAATTTTGACTTTTTTTTTTTATGAACTGAAATGGCAGTGTTAATACGTGCAATCTGCGAGGCCCCCTACCTCTTGTCGCTGCGATGTTATGATAATCCAGACTCCGGCCTCCAACTGTCAGCAGTGACTCTCCGGCGAGGGTCTGCGCTGCGAGGGAACGGCAGCTGGCTACCTCTTATTTAAACTCTTACCCCCCGAGTGAACGGGATGCCTGCCATACCTGTGTCCGTAACATGAGTTCCCCCCCTTTATGATGTCGTCATGCTGGAACTGAGCCGGTCCGGCACAATGCCTCGCCACTGGCCCCTGACTCTGGGCCCACTGCTATATTTGCTGCCATACCTCCACCCTTCAAATGTTACAAATGTTCATATATCATGTATACAGAAATATACGTGTTGGCAACTTGAAAGTCAAGCACAGACAAAAAAAAACAACAACAAAAAAGTTTGGGGCTAAACATGACCACAAGGTGTCACTACTACCCTAGAAAGTGAATAAGGATGAATTGTTGGGGTTTTTTCTTCCTGATCACAACCAACAGTTCAAAGGGAGAGATTCTTAAGTAGTGACAAATTGTGTTTTTATTTGCATAAAATTAGAAAAAAATGAACTTGTGACTCTTTTGTTAATGAGGCCCATTATTGTGTGCGTGGGGAAAGTGTACAAGGTGTAATTTGACTGGATAGCAGTTTAATTTCCTGTAATCCATCATGAGAAGAGAAGAAGGGGACAGAAAAAATGAAGCGAAAAGAGCTCTTGGAAGTTATTGTCTTGTTTATTCCTTGTATAGCGGGCCAGCAAATGGCCGCCATTCCTGCGGAAACACACTGTTTGAAAATGCTAAACCAATTTTCAACAACAATGAGCACATAAACATAGACAGCATCAAAGTGCTTCAATATCTTTATATGCTGCCTCGGAGATGGGAGAGGATGAATCAATTTATGTAAACACATACCATTTACATGTTTTGTGTGCAGGGATGGAAACAAGGCAAATAAAATGTTTATACAACTCTAACAAGCTTCAGAGTCGATATTCGGTCTGAGCTATTTTATTTTCCAGCAGCTTTTAGACAAACACCTAAGAAAAGATCATCCCCCCATTCCCGACTCTGGGAGGATTCATCCCTCCATCAGACCTGTCATCACTGATTTTTTTCGGCCCACTTCCTGTGTCACTCGGCATAGCTTAGCCTTTTCTCCCGGTTTCCCTTCTTTGATAATGGCTTTTACGCAAGTGTACCATTTCTTTGTCAGGTTTTAATGGGGCTTCTTCCCCTCTTTTTTCTGATCAACTGCCTCACACTGTCTGTTTTAGACTTTATTCGTTTGCACGTCACTTGTCCATTTTCTCTATTTGTTTTAAAAGACACACCGTAAAACTCCAAGAATCTCCTTTCTGGTGAAAGAAATGCTGCTCTTTTGTCAAACTATCATTTATTTGGTAATTGAATAGTAACAGAATGTGTATATTTTAAACATCTTGTAGCTAAGAAAGTGCCTAAAGATACAATTTATAAGGAGTTTTTTTTATTATCTAAATTGTCTGTTATTTATGGACACAACTTTAGGCACAGTTATGGAATTAAGTTCCCTTTGTGCCCATGAATCCTGAATAAATCAACTTTGGAAAGAAAAACACATTTCCCAGAAAATGCTAAATGCTCAGAAACAAGGCCTGGAAAGAAAATGTGTGAGAGGCTGGCAAACGTCCAAAGAAAAACCTGATGAACGATTGCTCAAGACCCCTTTCAAAAGATTAAGGTTACACAACCGCTGAGCTTCTAGGAGGCAAAACTGGACAAAAATGAGAAGCTGTGAGGAAGATTAGTGTTACATCTCTGTTTACTATTTTTATCCTTAAAAGGCATTCAGGTAGAGGTTTTTTTTTAAAATCCACTGAAACTGTTTTGATCGGTGCTCCAGCTTTTTTCTCTTTTCTTTTTTCTTTTCCTTTTAGCTTTCGGTCTAGGACTTTATTGTAAGCTGTCATTTCCTCTACAGTGTGACCAGATGGAGGATTATTCGCTGACCTGAGCCGATCTTGGTGGCAATCTTTCCACGTTCTCGGTGGCGTGTGAGATTATGTGAACCTGTCCTCTTCAATGGCAGCACATTGAATGCTGGGAGAGTCTCTGCTCACCAAAACAGACAGTAACTCTATTTTTTATTCGAAGCTCAGATGATCATTGATTTGAGCATTCGATATTAATACAAAAAAAAGCACTTCCTCCTGTGTATAATGAGACAACAAGAAGACATTTGCAGAAACACAGCCGGTCAATAGCCTCAGAATCAGGCAGGAAGGGTTTTGTCTCTATCAGAGGTTAAACCTAAACATAATCCCACTGTCACTGTCTTCCAGCACTTGCGTTTGAAGGTGAAATAACACATATACACGGGGCATGAAAGGCGAAGCTGCTCCTTTGTTTGAGGGGGGATCTAAAAATAGCTCTTGCTGAGCAGGCAGTGGTGCTGAGCTGCAGTCCCTTTTCTTCCTCCCTTTTCCTTATTTTTCTGCCTCCCACTCATCACCACGCCAGTGAAGCGCAGGAGCTCGAATGTCAAAGAGTCTCATCCGGAGTCGGTGAGTCTTTGTCCCCCCCGGTGAAAAACGAATGATGAATGTAGCCTGCGGAGCAGCACACACCACCTAGTCAGGGCTCAACACATCAACAGCTTCAGGAAGGAGTGAGAGCTGCCATAAAGGGTGCCACCCAGTGATTATCTCTGCTTTTCTTTAAGTCACTTATTCTTATCTCCCATAAAGCTGCCAATCTTTTAATGCCTCCTAAACACATGCATGCGCACAAATAAAAATGCAATGCTGCTGTTGCAAAGGGGGGGTTGATGAGCCCTGTTATTATTATTATTGTCCTGCAGATCGGCTTTACCGCCCCCACGCAGGCAGCAGACTTCTTAAGTCTCACATTGACAGAGAAAGACGACACTAAATTGATTTCACAGTGAAATGGACAAATTCATCACACATTTTTGGACACGAACGGTTAAAATGTGCTCATTATCCTATATCTGACCTCAATTGGATATGACTCAATCCCAAACATGTGTACAGTAGGTAAAAATGGGCGAGGGAGATTTTCAGTGGCAGAGAAGAGATGAGTCAATTCACAATACTTATCTCCAAAATGAATAATATATTACATATATAGCCTGGCAGTAGGCATTTGGAATTTGCTTCATATTTCTCCTCCGCCAGCCAAAACACCCCTCACACCGTGGGAGAGATGGAGCACACATTTCTGAGGCTGTGTGGGAAAAGAACCAACTGAGACAAACAGGGCTGCAGTTGGTTTTGGTGGAATTCTGCGCAAGACTGTGTCAAAATCAAATGTAAACCCTCTCCAATATCACCCAAGACGACCTCTGCTCCAAACGATCCAGCTTTCTCGCTAAATGTACTCTAACGTTAGTGTGTATTAGACAGGAAACACTGCTGGATGAGCTGAGAAGATGAGGACAAAAAGCCAGAAAAGCTCTGAGACTGTGGAAGGAAAGGCTTAACCGGCTCTGAGGTTTGGTTCTGTTCTGCAGCAGGATGCTTTATTTGACAGACAAATGCACTCCTCTGCCACATTTCTATAAAGATATTAAACTTTTTAGTTAAAACCTCTCTTATAACTCTACATAACTCTGTTCATCGTCGGATTTATCATCAATCTCGATATGGTTCAAGAGTGAATGACAGCTTGAGAAGGGTTCAATTATGCTCTGATAAATGATACCCACTCTCACACACACACAGTAGGTTCATTGTGATTGGGTGTGAATTTGTCTGGATAAGCATAGGCTGCGGTAAATAAGGCAAAGATGTGCAGAGATTGCGATGCATGGAAAAAGCAAGATGCAGTGTAACAAAAGTGTGCTCAGTTCCTGATCTCGAATACAGCATTACACTGTATGTCATCATCCCACACAGGAAAAGGCTCAGCCCATGCGGACACCTCAGCCATTGAATGTAACCAGCAATCACAATCAAATCATTTACTCTGTGATTCACCACGCACGAATATATATGTGTTTTTTTTATATGAGCAATTACTGTGTTTTTTTAAGCTATCACCATTCAAGATGATACACCTTGAATGATAATAGGGCAGCATGGGAATAGTTCGTCGGGTGTAGCATCGTGGAAATGATTATGGGCGATGAGTACACCCTAGAAATCAGTGTAAAATACAGATTGCAATGATGATGTAAGCTTGTTGTTGACTTTCCTCGTCTGAATGACTGAGCAAAGGAGAGGGGGTGGGGTGTCATTAATCCATAGCTAGTGGTGACTCGCCAGGCAAAAATGAGGTGTAGTGGGGGATGGGCACGAGGACACTGTTATGACTGGTGCTTGGCTGCGGGACAAACTTCTCGAGGCCTTGTATTTTTTTTTTCCCCCTCCTCTCGTCGGTCGGTTCCAACGACGACATACAGCTTCACGTTGCCGTGATCGAGTCGTACAGACCGGGGGCTTCTACTTAATCAGCGCCGGAGAACGGCGGTCAGCGTTTGTCTGATACGTGGAGGTGTTTGGTGGTTTTTGAAAATAGGTAAGTTTATGCATAGTATTGCGGCATAATTATATTTGCTTGGGAACGAGACACTAATCCTTTTCCGTTTGGTATTCTGTCCATTTTACCGTGTCCGGCTGACGGGACGACTAAAACACACCGCTCTCGCGTTGGCGCGTGTTTATAATCCTTACATTAAGCTTTAGTGAGTGGCGCTTTGAAATATTAGTAGTTACAGGGATCTCATTTTCGCATGTCGGGTCACCCCGATGTGTGTCTGAAGCCGTTGCTGGCTTCTTACCGCCGGGCTTTAGCTCTAATATTATAACCTTACGATAGTTAATCTTATGTTTGAAAAGTCAGTCTTGTAATCGATAAAATGGTCTGAATTGAACAGAAGAGCTGTGGAAGATATCGTCTTTTAAAAGGTTATATCCAAGCAGGTATGGGATTGTGTCAAAACTGTCATTAGCATAGCATGCTAGACTTAGCCAGCTAGCTTGCTGGCAAGTCTTGCAGTGGCAGCGAGCTGGCGACCTTACGGTAGTCGACAGAAATGTCTTTTGGAGAAAGAAATGGTGTTTTCTACACTGTTATTAAAGCTGAATTACTCCCAAGTCCCACGTCTCACCATTAGCATATTATTAGGGTTTGGTGGAAGCATAGTGGGTGACCTGCATCGGAACAAGTCGATTGTGGTCCGCCTCGCCACCCTTGCCTGTGTAGTAATGGGCACGGCTACCGCCATGCCTAACTAATGGGAACACGCATGGTAGCTAGCGAGCTAACATTAGCCAGCTGTCAATTCTGACGCGTGCGACTCCGGAATGTGACCTTTGTTAATCAATTGCCAGTTACTTCAAAGTTAGGAACTTAAATTGGAGGGGAGAGGGGGTCAACGATTGTACCCGTGTGTGTCCTGATAAGCTTTAAGGCCGCTTAAGCCAATTTCCCCCCTGTGTGTCCACGCTGTTACCTGGCATGTGGTCAGCTTCCAGTGTACGAATGCATGGAAAATTTGACTAGTTTTTGGAGATTCTGCAAACAGAGGCTGAGCCATTGTACTCAGACTTGCCTTACAGTACAAATTGTCCAGTCTGTCAGTCATTGGGCTCAAACTGGGGCGGGTAACTCGTTGTCCTCTTGTTACCCGACACACTGAAAACTTGTTTGGTCCATGTGCGCGCTTGAGTTTGCGTGGTGTCTAATTTCCTGTAAGTAGCCTCTCGTACTATCTCGCTCATTTGGCTGTGGTGACATAATTGCCTGGCGCGGTGACATATCTTTGTACTTTAACTCCCAGAAAATCTGTCATATGTAATGGGGCACGTCACAGCAGGTGACCCGTTAGATTCTGAATCGTGGAGCCGAATGATGTAACACAAATACACCAAACAAAAGCCCTACAGTTCTTCCCCCATTTGTGATCCAGCAGCAGAAGTCAGATGTTTGCTAATATTCCAGGCTAGAGGCGTGACGTGTAATATCAAATGCACATTCTGGAGAAAACCTTTCATGGTGTCTTTTTACTAAGACCCATCTCATTGACCACATAACAGCCTCTGTTTGTTTGTTTGTAAACAGCTGGATGGAGCAAAGGAAATGACCTATTTTGGTCACTACTCCCGTATTCTTTTCCGTCCAAGTTTGATCAACTTAGAAGTAGCTGTCGCTGCCTTAAAAATTCATGACCTTCTGCTTTTTTGTGCCAGCCTTTCACACACAGTGTCCTTTAATCAAGCCCAACTTAATGAAGTAAGTCAACTTAAAGTCAGTGTATCACTCTGCGGCTAGACGGGTGATTCAGTCAGAAAGTCGGCACGTTAAGGCTGCAGGTCAATTCGTGTCAAGAAACAGTATTTCCTGTCACTGTCACCCACGAAAAATCATTAATTTAGGGTATGCGTCGAACCTGTCCTGGAGGATTGCTGTCCGGCAGGTTTTCCCAGCTTCAACACACCTTCACATCAATGTTTTGAATAGATCCATTTAGTCAGAATCAGGTGTGTTGAAACATGGACGGAGTTTGACACTGCTGATTAAGCACTACAACATATTCAAGCTTTTAAATGGCTACGGGCATTGTCTATAGTAACTACACACAAGCACTGAGGGCATATAAAGACAAAGTTTAAGGCAGTAGAAGATCTCAAATCTTTTCCACAGCCTCCGAACATCAAAGGAAACGGAGGTAATTCGGTCTCTTAAAAAAGATCTGAAGGCAGCGGGGGAGATGTCATTAAAGAAAAGAAATCTCACGCTTGTAAATTATGACTGAAAAGTAGGTAAATGAAGGTAGAAAGTGATCAAATTAGTAACACTGTCACTGTGACCATGCCTCGTTTGCTCCTTTTGTCATTTGACAGCAAGTCAGGTCCCCCAAGTGTTTGCTTTGAGACTTCAGCTTAGTTATATAATAACTAGATATGAATTATTGAGCTGACTGTGGTGATTTCTCCTCTTTCCTTTTTGTCTTAACAACTCCAAAAGAAACCAAATGCATCATCTTTCCTGCATCATGTCATCTTTAAAAAAAAAATGTTTTGACGGTTTATTATGCTTTCCTTTTTGGGGACTATTACTTCACAGTAGACAGATTTCAAACTCCACTCAAAAGGATTTGGGGTCTCCTATGAACCCCAAAAATGAGTAATTCTTTTTAAATGGGCTTGTTCTCCGATCGTATTCACGCCCACGCACAGGATCACTGTGAGACATGCAAAGATTGATCTCGGGCTTTACCATTTTACCAGTTCTTTTATTTGTGTTGGCATTTTGAAGATTGCATTGATAATTGCTCTTTTTTTTTCTTTTTTTTTTTCCGCCCACCAAATTTAGATATATATTTTTTCTTTGTGTTTGGTTATGATGGGCTTGGTGTGTGTCATTAAACTGGATTAAAAAAAAATCTTTAAATCGAATTTTATTGTTTCATCCCCACTTCGTACGAATGAGAATTCCTTTTGAACTAAATTGTTTTCGTAAAGTATAATGGATGTGGAGTCCTAATCCTAATCCTTGTTTTCTTTCCAGGGGTTGAAGACGTCAGAGCCAAAATGCACCCCTGAAGATATCGTGATCACATGGGTACTGTAAATCCCTAAGATGCTTTTCTCTCTGTTGATGGTTTTATTTTTATCTCTTTCTATTATACTATATCAACAACACTATTGCCTACTTTGTGCAAAGTATTTCACCAGGGCAAGGAATTCATTGTCAGATAAGAAAAAATAGAATGTACTTTATTCAATAAAGAATATTGATAGTAGACTTTTAAGCACGGTAAATAAAATGTTAACTTGGGCTACACTTGATAATAACTCCAGCAAATATAACGCTTACACAATGCTTGTAGATGCTCTCCTTGATGCTTTCCATCCAGAGCACAAAAAATGGTATTGATATTGGACTGGACAGGTAGTGAAAGTGTTGATTAGGGCCACTTTATAGGTCGCTTTGGACAAAAGCGTCTGTTAAACGAATAAATATAAAATGGCCAATGTCTTCCTTGTAAAAGAAGTTCAAAAGAAGTCATTTAAAACCGTAGAGCTTCAGATTCTGCTTGAAGAACTTTGTCATTGTAACTTCTTTTTACTCATTACATGTTGTTTCCTTTAGATGATAATGCAATCCATAACAAATGACCCAAACTAATACAAAGTGTAGCTGTATCAAATAAGACTTTTCAGTCTAAAGGCATAACAGCATAGGGAAAAGAATACGTCTGATCTGCTGTTAAATCTTTGAGCTTATTAATTCATTAATTGTATGCATAATTAAGGCATCTTACACAATGATGCAAAGTAGCAGGCTGTGAGGAGAAAGATTTTGCCAAAATGAAGCTTTTTTTCTTTTTATAATGAGGTCGTAATTGAGAAGAATGTTTTCTTTTACCGTGCATTTCTGTTAAAAACACTGGCTGTGGATTTCTGCTTTTCATCCTTCGTGCGTTTTTATTTCTGTAGACTTTGTAGAGCACACCAATGCAGTCCAACACAAGATGGCCGTCGGGGCAAAAAAAAATCTCCGACTTGCTCAGTGTGAACACCATGTGAACACAGGGTGTATTTACATTGGAATGGAAATTCTGTGGGCAGAAATTTCTCCAGTAGCCATTATGGCCAAATCTGGCTTTTTTTTTTTTTCAAACAGATGCTTTGTGGCCTCGCAAATCTGCGGGAGTCAAAGCTGCGACCTGTAAAACGAGCTTCAGGATGCCAATCGTGTCCATTTGAAATTTAGAGAGGCTCGTTGCAGCTAACTGCTCGCAGTTGAAAGCCCAATTTTCTCGCAGGGAGCTGCTACTTAGCCCGTCGACCGCTGTCACAAGACGGCAGTTATCAGTCAGGTGAGGGCGGCCGGCCCAAACCAAACCACCTCTCCTCCCCGCGGAGAGTTTGTCCACCGGTGATGTATGTCTGCGCCACTGACCGAGCAGGTGTTTGGTGCCGACGGTCGCGAAACATTTACTCCCCCCCGCGCATAAGGTCAGCCAGATGAATTGTTTGACTTATTCTTGTAGCTGAGCCCTGACCTGCCCGCCGCTCCTGCGTCAGACGCGTGCGGTTGACATTTCGTCGGCCGCCTTTGAAAGCCCGGCCAGTGTCGTATATACAGAAGATACTGTCCGGCATGTGCTCGAAGCTCGAATGAATTGCGAAGCCTTCAGCACTGGCCGTGTCTGAAGTCTACAGGGCATCAAAGGACTTTCTGAAAGTCTCATCAGGGATAGCTGGAGGGCTTTTAATAGGTACAGTTTGGGCCAGATTCCCGCTTCAGTTGGTCTTGGAACTCATCGTCGGGGATGTGGCCGAAGTATTTACTTTTTTTTTTCGGGCCAACAATATACAAACGGTTCTGTCCCTCATCCAGACCCGCTTGTTTGTTTCCACCGCCCCGTCTAAACAATACGGGCCCTGCATGAACAGATCCAGAGGACAAACATAGGCACAGCGGGAATTATTTTCAGATGTAGGTTAATGAATGGAAACTGGTGGCCCTGCCTGCAGCCCGCAGCGGCATCTGCAGCTACCAAAGCATATGGCTGAACAGTATTTTATTATTTATCAATTCATCTGTTAGAACGTTTCAAAATGTAGTTCATATGGGGTTATATTCTTTTCAAGCCCAATACCCCCCCATTGTGTCTGTGTAGTGGTTATTATAGCAGCCTTTAAGTGCGACAAATCTTCTTTACATCCAAGCCCAAACCTTCTGTTTGATATACAGAAACTATAATGGCTTCTGAGGTGTGTGGAACCTTAAACACACTGAATTAACTCTTCTTTTTTTCTTGCTTTGCTTCTTTTTTTTTAACAGACTCCTATCCTGTGCTGACCCAATGCTTTAAACACCGGGATTAAAAATGAGCATAAGCAGCGATGAGGTCAATTTCCTGGTTTACAGATACCTGCAAGAGTCAGGTACGTCAGACAAAAGGTTCCCCTGGGTGCAGTTGTTGTTTCAAGCATGTAGAAAACGGGCAAATTTCACCCCGTGGCTTTTGAGACGGCCTCTTGCTCCATTCTGCTTGTCTAATCGATCCATCTTTCCTCCAGGCTTCTCCCATTCAGCCTTCACCTTTGGCATAGAAAGCCACATCAGCCAGTCCAACATCAATGGAGCCCTTGTGCCCCCTGCTGCCCTCATCTCCATCATTCAGAAGGGCCTGCAGTACGTGGAGGCTGAAGTCAGCATCAATGAGGTCGGCAAATAATAATGACCTCTTTTACTTCATCCTCTGGGTTTAAAAAAATAAGGGGAAGGAGAAATGATTCAGCTTTTGTGTATTTATATGTAACCCAAATCAGTTTAGACATGATCTGTCCTTTCTTTGGGCGCAGGATGGCACCTTGTTCGACGGGAGACCCATCGAGTCCCTGTCTCTGATTGACGCCGTGATGCCAGATGTGGTCCAGACCAGGCAGCAGGCCTACAGAGACAAGCTGGCCCAGCAGCAGGCGGTGGCGGCAGGGAGCAGCACAGGGCCCCAGGGAAGCGCCAAGAATGGAGAGGGGCCTGCCAACGGAGAGGAAAACGGATCGCACGCCTTAGCCAGTAAGCGAGCTCGTGGTCGTAAACAATCTCGGAATCGGCCACCAAACCAACCGCTGCGTTTACTGTTTTTCGTGCCACCCAGAAACGGGCTGAAAGCATTTCCGTTGGCTCGCACCACAGATCAGAGCACGCACTCTGGGTTTTTTTACGAAGACTTTTGTAAGAGAATGTTTGTGGGACTAGACCTGTATGTGTTTTACATGAGATGAGCCTAAAGTCATTCTTGTGACATCTCACGGCAGCTACAGGGATGTTTAGGGGAGTTTTGTATTGTTGTAGTAGTGGCTAGCCCTGGTATTTCCCTTTTTCCCCACATGTTTTCTCACGGTTTCATTTCGTCTGTGCAGTTTTTCTGTTCCTTGCTTGTCCTTTCATGCTGTACAGTTGTTCTTGCTGCTTGGGTTTCCTAAAAAAATTTTTTTTCCTTAATGCTCAGTATCATACCTGATGCTGAGGGGTCCTTTGTGGTTCCCTTAAGCTAAAACTAAGTCAATTATTAGCTTATTCGTCTGCAGTGTCTCTGAGATAGTTGACAATTGTATTTTGTTCTTAATAACAAGGGCAGGCCGACACGTCGGCCCGAAGTGTATTTCATGTGGATCACATTGATTTGACAGCATTTACATGAATAACTGAAGTGACTGTGTGTCTACTGACAGACCAGCTGTTGGCTCACTGTTTGAAATAAAATGAGGCACGTGTTTGTTGCTCTGGTTTTTCAGGAAACCAGGAATGCAGTTTGCTTTCCTCACTGTTGAGATACTGTGCCAATATTTCAGAAGTACCGATCATTCATCTTAGATCTTGTAGGCTGCTCTACTACTGGTATATAAATGGCCATTCCTTACATTTGATTGAGCTACTTTGCCCACAAAGATTGGAATTACATTTAATATAGAGCATTGGGACATAAGAAATAAAAACAAACAAATAGCGATGGTGAAAACAGGGTTTTAATAAGGTTACAATGTACTAGAAGCTGATCTGGAAGCAGTATTAGGTCTCAGTGCCATGACTGATCATCAAAGAGTAGCAATAACGGTGGCAATAACAGGGACCCAAACAGCCGGGGGGGTCGCACACAACGAACTAAAGAGCCGGTTCATTGAAGTTGTTGTGGAACATGTTTTTATCTCATATAGGGAAACATTTTGTAGCTGTTTGTAGGGCCGGAGCCAAAGAACTCTTTGACTTAAGTCACGGTAAGCAGGCTGAGCTAAAGGTAGAGCTAATTGGCTTTTCATAGATACTTTCTTTTTTTTTTATCAGGTGAGGCAAGGGTGTCGGTTTACAGCTAAAGCGTAAACCCATGGCTGCAGTTCTCTGTCAACATGAACGAATCATCAGAATAGTGTTGATCAGTGAGCAGTTCTTCTTATTGTGCAGCTAGTGCTAAAAACAATGTGATTTAATCAAAATCACCACATGGATGTCAAAGAGTGACCTTTGTGAATGTGAATTTTTAAAACTATATTAATATGAAACGTATCCTTTAATGATAGAATGAGTGCCATTCTATAAGCTGACTGTCCTTCCCACAGATCACCACTCTGAGATGATGGAAGTGGACCGGGATGTGGAGATTCCGCAAAGTAAAGCCATGGTCTTGAGGGGCCACGAGTCTGAAGTTTTTATCTGTGCCTGGAACCCAGTCAACGACCTCCTCGCCTCCGGGTCAGTGCTTCCCCACACGTTTGCATCTCATCTCACAGTTTGTGGACGGGCACGTCCACAAATGCTTTTTTTAGGGATTTAATCTGTCTCCCTGTCATTACGTTGTTATGGGTATTTCAAATGCCCTTTAAATGGCTGCCCTCAGTCGTACTTAGTCCTCTCCAATCCAGTAAGTGGGTAAGAATGCATGTCTTAGCCTAAGATTATCATAGAAATTACACAGTTATTTCTTTTAGCAGATTCTCTGACTCGTGCTGAGCCTATCTTATTTGACAAAAAACTTTATTGTAAGAAAAAGGAACACCAGTTTAAATTGTCAATGGAATGTGTTTGGGTTTTTTGGGGCTTTTTCACCTTCACGATCCCTCGACATCCCTCTTAAACTTCGTTACAGATGATATCTTGATGTTTCATTCTTTTATTCCATCATATATACCATTTCCTTGCTGATGGAAATGCATCTTAAGGGGTCCCGAACAGCCATTACTGTAACCTGTAACCCTGCATATAAATTTGACAAATCAGTTCACAGTTGTGTTTGTGGCATTTTGCAGCAATTTGACCTTTCAAATGTTAATTAGCTGCTTTTTGTTTTTTAAAGAAAACCAGACAGAATACGGTCTGATTCTGCTCAGCTCCTTGGTGATGGAGTTAAGCTATCAGCATTCACTTTGCTTGTGTTTGGATAAAATGGGCTTAAAGTTGCACAGGTTCTTAATGTCAAACCAAGTGTGAATTGGATAGCGTGATGTTGTCATGCATGAAGGCAGTCACTCATTTCTGTGTTTGCAACATGAGTCAAGGAGAATTCCAACATTCCTGAGCTAACAGGCAGGATGGACAAGATTATTATGCTGGAAATCATTGAATAAACGCGATAAGAGAACAAAGACGCAAATAGAAAAGGGGGAATATGATTTGTGCTGTAGTGTGTGTGATCGTTTCACTTCTGGTTCAGGTGTATTCCTTTTTTTTTGTCACAGTTGGCACATGCTTAGAGGTTTTCTGAAGGGGAGCTAAACAAATAGCTGTGTAAAGGGAGCCAGTTGGTCCGAATCTATTTAAAATAACCTTATGTCTTTCACTTTGCACAAATGCTGCGTTGTTCCCGCTCAGTGTCAGATGGTGGCACGCACGTTGCCACATATTGCTATTTTTCCCCCAACGCTGCCAAGGACACGGATATTTCTTCTTTTAGCCTTACTTTGCTTTACAATATCGGAAGTCACTCCTAGTTCCCTTTTTATTGAGTTTTAGCTTGACAATTCTAAACAAAGCATCCTCCGATGGTCATCCGCTTCAGGTAAAACACAGACAAAGAGGTTCATAGAAACCCACTTTTTATTTCTTTTTAAGAAATAAGAGGTAATCCCTTTTGGCTAAGTCGATTAAGTGATCAAATGTTGATAAGCTGGTGAGGTTAAGCGGTTACTTTTTCATTCCTGAAAGTGGCCTTACTGTAGAGGTGAGTGCTCACTTATAATAAAAACTAGACACCTGCTTCCACATAGGGACAGAGCAAATTTAAAAAGGAGAGACGCCGTTTTATCTGGCACTGTTGTGTAGTTCTTTAGGGTCTGCAAAAGATGGCAAGCCTCCACACACCCCAGGTCAGCGTCATTGACTTTTGTGCTTGTAAAATGTCCCTCTCCTTTTTCTTCAACAGATCATGTGAAAAAAAGTTTGGTAGGGATTTAAAAAGGTTTTGGATTTGATGATTTGGGTTCAGGGTCGATAAAATGCCTTTAAACCCCAGCCCAGCTCAGGAGCTATGATGGTCAGTTTTCTAACATTCTCAGTCAATGATCTTAGAGGTCCATCCACGGCGCCGTGCCTAATGCCGGCTTGTCTTTTTCCCGGCTCCGGCAGGTCGGGGGACTCGACGGCGCGGATCTGGAACCTGAGTGAGAACAGCACCAGCGGGTCCACGCAGCTGGTTCTGAGGCACTGCATACGAGAGGGGGGCCAGGACGTTCCCAGCAACAAAGACGTCACCTCACTAGACTGGAATGTGAGTTGTACCTTTTTGATGGTGTTTTTTGGCGTCCATGCACAGAAGAACGGCCTTTTTTCCCTCTCATTCTTTCTGCTAATGACAAAATGGAGAAGGAAAGCGCCTTTTTCTGCTGCTGAGCTGTAAACTCACATTTTCCCTGATGGCAAAACTCAAAGCAGAAGATCAAATAAGGACAAACATTCCGTCCCCCGCCATGTTAATCTCATAAGTAAAACAAGAGTGACTTTATGAAATTAGATGAAAACTAAGCCAACTGAGTCTAACAGGAGCCATTGTGCCTTTTCTTCCAGAGTGAGGGCACATTGTTGGCAACAGGCTCCTATGATGGCTTTGCCAGAATCTGGACAAAAGACGGTAACTCTCCCTTCCTGCATTTCATTATAACTTTTGTCAGAAGAAGCATGCAGACTTTTTGTAAATGGCATTCCATCTTTCTGTTTTTAGGTAATCTGGCTAGTACTTTGGGCCAGCATAAAGGCCCCATATTTGCACTCAAATGGAATAAGAAAGGAAACTTTATCCTCAGTGCTGGTGTAGACAAGGTAAGGGATACTGGGTCACTGCTTATTTTCTTTTCCACTGTCTTTTTTTTTTCTTTTCTACTTGGGTATTCAAAAACATTTAGACTGATAACTGTAAAGACTGCATTCTCCCACCAAATTTGCATTCTATTAAGATAAATCCATTGAAGAAAGGGAGAGAGCTTACTGTGTAGATATGTCATCCGTGAGCTCACAGTCAAATCTGTGTGCCACCCTCAGTGTGTTTGAATATCAGACTCTTTTATCATTTTGTACCTGTCAAACAGCACACACTGCCTTCCTGATGTAACAAAGACGGCGGTTCCGAGTGGGGCAACATTGCCACCCAGTGTGCGGATGTTTAACAACACCCGCAGCCATGTAAAAACACAGCACCTTCTTTTATCAGTTGTGTTGAACAGAAGCTAAGCGAAAATACGAAAGCAGAGTGTGGAACATTAAGCCAATCCTTATTGATTTGGATGAAAGCAAGACGGGAAATGACAGTCGGGTTGACAGGGTGTGTACCACAGCAATGCCATCTCAAAGCGCTTCAGTCACAGCCCTGTTCAAGCAAATTCAAATTCAGCTCATTCTATTACAGTCTTACCCTTATCTTAACTGATATTGTCATGATAGTAACTGTGCACTTTTTCTCTGCTAAGAGTATTCTATTTGAAACAATTCCTTATTCAAAATTATTACTATAATAATACATTCCCACTCGACACACTTTATTTATTTCTTTGAATGTTTTGTAATCAGATCGCAATCGGAACCAAAAGATAACAAAAAAAAAGCAAAAATCTTATTCTTTCCAAAGTTGTGTTTACAGAACTGTTCATATTAACTCCAAGGAGTAAATGATGTATGCCTGTTGTATGACAAAACCCACTGATCCAGAAGGGAAATGGTTCATCAGACAGTGTAGTCCTTGATGTTTTTTTGTTTTGTTTTTTACGCCGTAGGCAGAAGTTTTCCCTCAGTCTACTGCGAATATCATTTGTATATTCCATGACATTGTCCTTTTTAGTTTTGGACAGCCAGGTGATGCATCCCAGAGCAGGATGTGGGATTTCAGTGCTGTGACATCCCATGACATTTCAACAGGGCTCTGTCCACAGGTCATTTGGAAACCAAATGTTACATTCGATCCTCACGGAAGTTCAAGTTCCTGAATTCCTATGAATTCAGCAAGTGTACTACTTTCCAAAACATCGGGCTTTACCTTCTAGTCCTAGTTCTTGAACTGCGATTATCAATATGATATGAAGCAGGTGTAGCAGGTTATGAGTGTCAGAGGTTTGCGTCCCCTCTTATCTCTGCGTCACATTAGTATGTTTTCCGGCAGGAAATAAGATTAAAAAAAATACTTTTGGCACAACCCAGGTGGGGGTTTTTTTTTCCTTTCCTTTTTTTTGCTTTCTTTTTTTCATCCTGAAAGGCTTACACTGTCCAGGACAGTTGGAAAAACACTGAACAAAAAAATAAAAGGAATGAGTACGCACAAGTATTTCCAGAAGACTTTCTGGGACAACGTCCTGTGAATGAACCAGGCCAAAGTGGAAATGTTTGTTCAGAATGGACAGCTGCACGGAACCAAACACGGCTTTATCAGCCTGTGACAGCCTGTAACAGGCCAATGCTAAAGCACGGTGGTAGAGGGCAAATGGTCTGGCCTTTTGTGGGTCCTGAGAGGAAGATCCCTAAGACACCAGCAGTTCTACAACTGAAAATAGGGAGCTGCGCCAACTGCTTTGACCTTTTCGGCTCAATTTCTGTTGAACGGCAGCTTTCAATGATTAAAAACTTTCTTCACACAGACGACTATCATCTGGGATGCGCACACAGGAGAAGCCAAGCAACAGTTTCCATTCCATTCGGGTGAGTGACGAGTCAGCTTCTTTCTTCCACACGGTTATTCATACAAGTGTCTGTTTTTAGACGGATGTTACCTTTTGCTGAACTGACCCTACTCATAATACATTTAGCTTCTGTATGTCAAAGAGTCGAGTTGTTGTGAAGAATTAATGCTCTGTCAGCCTGCTGCCCGAAATGATGCCTTCTAAAAACACCTAGTCATACTTGGATTGCTGGCACCGATCATATTACAATCCCAGCGTGGCAACAACGAAAACTAGGCGAACAGGTTTTGGCTTGATTTGTCGCTCCTGCAGCAGCTCTGAGCCGTGTGTCTGCCTCCCCCTCCCCCCTCAGCACCTGCTCTGGATGTAGACTGGCAGAGCAACAACACCTTCGCCTCCTGCAGCACCGACATGTGCATCCATGTGTGTAAGCTGGGTCAGGACCGACCCGTCAAGACCTTCCAGGGACACACGGTAAAACAGCCCTCCCCCGATATGCTCCTGTCCTGTCACGAACACGCACTCTGCACCGAGCCAAAGCTGCCCCGCAGCTGGGTTTGCGCCGAGGCTTTGAGCTGGAAATCAGCATTCTGGGTATAAGCATTTCTGACTTGGCTATTTTCATCCCGCTCCTTGTAGAACGAGGTGAACGCCATCAAGTGGGATCCCACCGGGAGCTTGCTGGCCTCCTGCTCCGATGACATGACTCTAAAGGTGAGTTCACAAAACGAGCTGATGTTGTTGTGGTTGTCATGATTGACATTGTGAACACCGTGTTATGAGACGGAGCTACATTTATTTATTTATTTATTTTGTTGTTGTTTTTTTCCTTTGCTTATTTTCTCTATTCTTTGCCTTTCCGTGACAGATCTGGAGTATGAAGCAGGACTCGTGCGTCCATGACCTTCAGGCCCACAGTAAAGAAATCTACACTATCAAGTGGAGCCCCACAGGCCCCGGGACCAACAATCCCAGTGCCAACCTCATGCTGGCCAGGCAAGAAAACCCTCCTTCTTTCCCCTTCCTCAAGCATACAAGGCAGCTTTGTATTCATAGCTGACAAATATTATGCACGGTACCACGAGGTGTGGAAATGCAGAGCCATCTGACTTGGCCTAAGATTTCAATTTCTAGATGAAGAAACCAAGCAAATGTCATGAAATGATCGTATTAGGTTGTTTTGTTTTTCTTTTTCTCCAGCTTTGTTGTGCGTTTGGGTGATGAGCAAAGCTCAGCAACCCCACTAAACAGTTATGAATTAACAAGGTTCTCTGGACTTTTTTTGTCAGTAAACTCCCAAGTTTGGTCAGCTGCTCAAGTTCTTGGAGCATCAATGTTGGCAGCCGTCTCCTAGCAGAAGCAGCCAAGTGAAAGCCCTGCTTTGTTGTTTTTTTTTAATGGTACGGCGTCGCTCCTACCCCTAGGTGGCAGTGAAAACACAACAGCAGTGCTCTGCATTGCAGCCAGGCTACGATAGGCATCTAGCACTGTGTGCAGTGAGCCTGATGACGTTCCAACAGGAGCCAGGCTAAGTTCAAACAGTTAGTGTTTATGTGTGATATGTTTAGTCGCGTGTCAACTAAAGCAGTACATCCAGAAATGTAAAGGCATTGTGCAAAGGCTGACGGTGCACTCGGCATTCTCCAGATTGAAATCCCAGATTTCCTTCAGGAGAAATAGTGTTGACACGTCCTGGAGTTTATTTGCAGTGCCCTGCTGCTGCTAAATGCTCCTTTCAGAAGTTGGAGTCAAACACCATTTTGTCTGGCACCTTTTGGGGCAAGAGTGTGCTTGATCTTATTTTATGTTTCACTTATTGACCTCAGTTACAGAAGGTTCTTATACTCAGGGAAAAGGATTTAACATTTTTAGAAAATCCCAGTACAGCCAAGTTTCCGCAACTACTAATCAAAATCTAAAAAATGTATAGTGTACATTAAATTAAAAAGACAAGGCCAAAAAAAAAGACTATAATTTGTGAATGAGAGCAGTTGTTTTTATCCGTTTGTTGTTTATTTGGACCTCCAACTGTAATTATGCACTGGAGAGAACATGTGCTCTCAAGCTGGAGGATAGAGGCCAACCTGATCAAATCAGAATGGAAGAGCCATGATGGCTCATCAGGAACCTTCAGTGGATATATAGAAGATTTTTTTTTAAATCGGCTACATAAAAGCAGTAGTATCTGATTTCCTCTTCTGATTTTCACCCTGAAACTGTTGCTCCGGCTACCGTCAGTCTGCCGACGGCGCAGCTGGACTTCGTCACACCCGGCTGCACACACCATGTGAAAGTGATGGGAGGATGAATGAGTCCCATCGTCCTCCCACGTTAATTAGCTGCCAAAGGCTTACTGAAGCCTCTGTCAACAGAACAGGAACGCTCGCGTTTCACTTGGCTCGGGTTACGCAAACAGTATCTTTCTGAGATGGGCGTCTCAGAAGGAGTGTTTATTGACCTTCTGTTCCGATTAGTTAAGGCTTTTGTCCACATTATCTGCTCGAGAGACGGTTATTCTTTGTGTATTCTTCGAGGGCAGAATGAAAACAATAAAAGAGCCACGTCCATGAGAAGCACCGATGACGGGGATCCCTATCGACACGATCTCACCTATTTAACTTCCACGCCTTTCTGACGCGCCCTCCTTTTTCCCTCCGCAGCGCGTCGTTTGATTCCACCGTGCGTCTGTGGGACGTGGAGCGGGGCGTGTGCATCCACACGCTGACCCGCCACCAGGAGCCCGTCTACAGCGTGGCCTTCAGCCCCGACGGCCGGCACCTGGCCAGCGGCTCCTTCGACAAGTGTGTCCACATCTGGAACACTCAGGTGGGACCGGGCAGCGTTTTGGACAGAAACGCGCATAAAGATCCTATTGGTATTCACTCTTAACCGCGTTTACGTGTGTTTGTGTGTGTGTGTTTGTCTCCAGACGGGTGCTTTAGTCCACAGCTACAGAGGGACGGGGGGGATCTTCGAGGTGTGCTGGAATGCCACAGGGGACAAAGTAGGAGCTAGCGCGTCAGACGGATCGGTGAGTTCTGCCGCCCCTCCGTAGGTTGTCCCAAATCAGAAACGTGTGGTGCTTTTTCTAAACCGCCACGTGTCATCTCATCTGACTTCCAAGAGGAGAAATTGACGAAGCCAGAACGGATACACACCCCCACACATCTGTAGCATCCATATTTACTTCTGTAAAGTCCAACGGCAGACGGCTCTAACATGAACAAGCACACAAAATAATCTAATTCTGCAATTTCAACTCTCCAAGATTGTGGGATTTATCGTATTTTATCACAGCAGCACCATTTCCTAATAATTTCTACATATAAAATTAGGATTTTCCTTGAGAGGAGCATCTGGGTTTAATCCCAGTGATTACTCATTCTTAACAAAATGGCTTTTATTGTCAGATATTGCTCTAAATGCTTTAGGCCATGAAATAGGTTCACGACGTCCGGGCTTTCTTTGCCCCTACTCCCACAGCTCTGTAATGAGCATGCACCTGCATGCGTCTTCCTCTGATATTCCTGTGCTTTTTATATACTTCAGGGCCATGGTTGGCTACAGCCTGGCTTCATTCCCAATGCACGCAAACCCGACTACAACAAGAGCTGTTTTGTTAGATCCTGCAGGTCATAAGACCACACTTCATGACATTTCTTCAACAGTCAGGACGGGATTGTGTATTCCTTAGTTTTCTGACTCTATTAAACAGATAAATAGAGCCTTTGTCATGAATTAATTGTAATTTAACTTTTTTTTTTTTTTTTTTATCTGATAGCATTATTTAACACAAGTTAAACCATAACTGTCAGTCAGAGTCATGATACATATCCATGTGGACGTGAATTTAAAGGGGACCGATCAGGAGATGGTGGATGCCATTTCGTGTCCACCCCCAGTTGTCAAATCAGGTTATTTACAGATGTTGTCCACTGATTAAAGAAGGGGCAGGCTAAAGAGGAAAAAAAAAGAAAAATGTTTGCGGTTTTGACTGTTGCTTCCGTGCGAGTCAGTGTTATCTGACATGATTTTCCAGTAAAGAGGAAACTGAGAACAGTTTTTTTTTTTTTTGTTCCTTTTTTTTTTTTTAACTCCTGGGTTTTGCTTTTTTTTAACACTTCACTTTCCCAAACCGTCAAAAAAATTAAATTACCGTACACCTTATCCTTATCCTTTCAAGATGTCTGCAGCTTAAAAGTGTTGGTCACTTTCAGTACATTCAATTCAATTTTATTTATATAGCGCCACATAACAACAGTTATCTCACACTTTCCAAACAGAGCAAGTCAGACCCTACTTTGACGTTATTTACAGAAGCCCAGCAATTCCCAATACATGTGGTGTGATGAATATAGATTACTTTTGCTTCCCCCCCTACTCCTAAAAACCAAAACAACAGATCTGCTGCGCGTTTTGAGCTTTTTCATTAGTACCTACCGAGCCCTACACGGCCCGGCCCGGCTCAGATCTCCACGGTCTAAGTGGTTTTCCATTACAAATGATGGTTTCAGCATAATTTTGTATGTGACACAAGCACGAGAAAACAATGAGGGAAACCATATACCGACTGAACCTTGATGTTTGTTCGTGCATTGGGCATTTACAACATTTATGATCACAGAAATATTTAAATTGGATGTTTGTTGTCGCCACACTTAAAACGGGCGGGGTTTATGCGACAGAGTGACTGTCTAATCATTAGACTCCCTGGCCAATTAGTGCCCAGCAGTCTGCTGTCCTACTCAGCCCCGATTGAACCCCAGTCCAGTAAGGTGCTGAAGTTGTAACTATTTTCCACAAACAGAGGAAATGGTGAATGAAATTATCATTTGTTTCCTGGGTTTTTTGATTGTGTAACAGTAAACAAATGAATACTTGAAATAGTTTAAAATCGTGGGCCCCTGGATCTATGATCAATCGACTTATTGTGGAATTATGGAAATTAAAGAGCTTTTCCCATGCTATTCAAATATCTTTTCGGAAAAAGGTCCGCAGGTGCAAATCGTCTCACTCTTGACTTCCTGCTTTGCAGGTTTGTGTTCTAGACCTGAGGAAATGACTCACGTGGGGATGCCATGGACCGACTACGAATGTGTACATAGCCAAATGACTGTTCCCGCCTGTCACCACACTGCTGTAGTCCCTTCAACGCCCGCGGCCCCCCTTTCATCACACACCACCTGGGACGCTCCCTTCACCACCATCATCATCACCACGTCCAAACAAGGACCATCTATCAGACCTAAACATCAGGCCTGTTTGTTCCACATACCTGCAGGAGGGGGAGAGATCACACCTGCCCATCACATCCAAACCAAAACACCAGGATTCTTCTCGTTTTAAACCTTCATACAAGAACTGTACCTTTAGTTTTTGTTTTTTGGTTCTCTGTTGTTGTGTGCATATTGCACATGTCAGCATTTGTTTTGTTGAATGTTGAGGGGAGGGCATAAGTAAATGTTTGTTTTTAAATGGATGTCGAGAGCTATTCATTGGGAGATTCAACTGAAGTGAATTTGTGATGACTTTTTTTTTCTTTTTTTAAATATATGAACAGTTTGTCCCAGCTTTCACACAAAGGAGACATCAGTTATCCAAAGGGTGATCTGTGCTCTTTTCATGTGACCCTAAGAAAAAGCCACAAAGCGTTCATGCACCGAAGCGGTGATCTGAGCCATCCACGTGCAGCCTACAAAAACTGGATGAAAGATAATCCGGCCTAGCTCCTCTGATCACGTCCCCGGTTCTGTCAGAGGTATTCGGAGTTTCACTCGAGAGATCTCACTTTTTGACCAAGATGGCAGTTCTGGAGTCGAGCAGTAAAAAAAAAATGAAAATAAAAATAAATAAATCCCAGACTGACCTAAGCGCATAGTACAGTCCCTGATACTGTGTACTTAGGAATGCCTCACAGATAACTCCTTTGTGGGTTTATCTGTAAGGCAGACGCCCTGTATTAATACACAGGTACAGGAAATGGGTCCTTTTCGGGCCCACACTGATTTTTAGAATGTCCATTTAGAGGCGATTCTTTGCTTGTAAAAGCAGACTGGCAGCATTAAACTGTAACCCAGGTTCTGAGGTATAAAACATATAAACATGTATGTAGATGTATACAGAGGAATATCACAGGGTGTTTTTTTTTTTGTTTTTGTTTTTATATGCCACCCCTGTGCGAAAAGCAGGTTTTAAAGAAACGTTTTGAACAGTTGACGATGTTGATGTCCATTAATATTTGGAATACTTTTATAAAATATCTTCATACTGTCATAGCGGAATATAAAAAAACATTTTTATTTTATATTTTTTTTGTTTTGCCCCTGCACTTTAGATTAAAAATCGAAGGGCCGAAGGCTTTCTAGATTTCTCAGAAATTCATAAACTTTGCAGTTTAGTTGGTACACAAGCATTTGTATGACTGCTTCGTCAATGGGGGCAAAACAAACGCATTGTAGATCCAATCTTGTTTCCTCAACACCATCTGATGACTTCTAAGCCCCTTTTTTTGTTTGTTTTTTTAAATGCCGCATCTATGAGATGCAGCCCCCATTAATTGGACACCCTCCAATCCCCCGCCGCTCCTCTTTGTTAATCGTCCTTGCCGTAATCATCATTCCTATGACTCATTTGCTGGATTTAAACATCAGCATGCACTCAACGCCACACAGATTTCAGAGCAAAGTATTCTTTTTTTTTTCTGACTTTGCTTATCTCTCCCCCTTAGATGAAGTCTATGACAGCAGAATAGTATTTTAAAATGCTTTCTGTTTAGGTTATGAGGCTTTTACACTGCAGTCAAATGCTTTAGCGGTTTTGTTTCGGTTTGGTTTTTTTCTCCCGCTGTTGCGCCCACCCAAAGTACTAACAGTAACTCTATCTTTGCTATGTTGGAGAGCCCTCAAAGGTTTTGTACTTATCAGAACTTTTGTAATATTGATTTATTTGTAGCTACATACTCGAAATGAACAAAAACTATAGGATGAATTTTAATTGTTTGGCGTACTAAAACACCGAAAATGTAAATACCAATTTTCAGGTCTTTGTGTCTTTTTTTTCTTTTTTTTTCTTCCCTGACCTTCTGTACTCGGCCACTCACACGGTTGCAGTCTGCAGCCCTCCTGATCGGACTGTTGTAATATCACTCAGATCTCAAGGTCTAGAATAAAATCTATTTTGATAATATCTGTGTTTTCCTAATTGTGTTTGCATTCGCGCTGTTTTTTGTACAAGGGCTTGCTTAACAGCTGCATGAGATGGAGCTAACAGATACAGCTGTAATCTCGGGCAATAGACCACTTAAGATATCTTGAAGTGAACTTTAACCCGTATTAACAAGGACAAATGTCAAACACAACCTTTGTGATATTGGAATTTGTCTGATTCAGATATCTTTTGCGGTTGTTAAAGGAAAAGAAAACTTATTTAGGTTACCTCTGCTAAAACTGGATGATTTGCTGTGCTTAACAGGTCAAATACACCTACACCTGGACGCCAGGTTATATCATAGTAGTCACAAGTTGGGCTATGATGTAAACACACCCATATTTGTTTTAAGGCATGGTAGTGTTGCGGTCAGCCTCACAGCAAGAGGGCCAGAGTGTCATGCATGTCTCTGCGTATCTCTGTAAAATGGACCGGCAACCTACCCAGGGTGCAACCTTACTCAGTGAGGGCTGGGATATGCTCTTTCTTCGATAGAATAAAAGCGGTATAGAAAATAAATAAGAAAAAAAGTTAATTATATTTGGAGAAGGAGGACAAACAATGAGAATGGTAATCAAAAGCATGAAGTCATGAGGTGAAACGTTTTCTCAGAGATGGCTCTTCGCTTAGTTTTTTTCAGAAGTTAGCAGCTTTAAAAATCAACCAACACTCGCATGAACGTGAGACAAAAATGACACCGTAGAGGTGTCCTCGCTTTTTGTGTGACTGCGATAAATGAAAGAGGTGTTTCAAAGATGGGAGAGATGAGCCTGCTGTACTTCCCCACGAGGTTGTGAACAAACAAGACCGTAGGAGCTGGTGTGACCTGTGGTAGAGGCGTGAGTTTACCGTTCTTCACACCCAGCATCAGCCTTGTAGTTTAGGTAACAGAATGACTCAGGGCTCCATCAATGTGTGAACTGCTTATTCAGGGGCGGAACTGGAGCCTATGCTAGTAGTCAATGGGCGTGAGGCGGGCTACACCCTGAACAGTCCACCAGTCCATCGCAGGGCACACAGAGACACACAAGGACCAACAACCACACAAACACACTCATATTCACTCCTGAGGGCTATTTGGAATGTCTAATCAATCTAACATGCAGGTTTTTGGACGGTGGGGGGAAGCCGGAGAACCCAGAAAGGTCTTGGTTCCCCCGGGGACTCAAACCCAGAACCATCTTGATGTGAGGCCATGGTGCTAAGCACCGCACCACCCGAAGCCATTTTCATTTTGAGCTAAATATTGGAGTAAACCATTAAGGCTGACCTTTTTTTTTTGTTTTGGGTTTTTTGTTTTGTTTTGTTTTTAGTCATCAGAGTCTGCGTTCAGTCATCTTACAGGAAAGTTCAAACTACAAACTTGTCACTAATTTCTCTTAGTCACTTCCTGGTAAATCACTTTATATACCACCACACCACTGTGCCACCTTAACAGCAAATCCGTTTGGACTAAATCTAGAAAAAGGAAATTCTGAGTCATCCAGATCCGATGTATCTGCGTTGTGCTTGAGGTTTGACTATGGATCTATGGATTGGTCTGAGATGTTTGGCCAGCTATGTAATTAAGTGCTTTCAACTTAAGGCTCAATGTGTCCCCCAGATGCCAGATTGATGGGGCTGTGGATAATGCTCAGGACCAGTCTTTAGAACATTATGATATCCTTGCAAAACTTTGCCAAAAAGGGGGCTTTAGCAGATGTATTAGAAGAATGTATGAGTGAACTGCATTTACAAGCTATTGGGCTAATATATTGTCTTCTACTGTCGGAAGGAGGTTCATGTAAAAAAACAAACAATACATGTCTTCATAAGTAAGCAATAAGACATAGATGTCACAAGATGCTTATATTGAGTTACGTGAAGTCGTACAGCATGACATAGAACTCCGGAGTGCCTGTCCTTATTGTAAAAGTAGTGACTATAATTACTCAGCAACACTGAAAACACACAGTTGGCCTGGATACATAAGAGCGCACGGTGAAAAGATACTACATGTAGCACTGAAGCTGTGGTTGACATGTGGAAAAGAATAAATTAAAATAGGGTGTTTGTGGGTAGTGGTGAACTGAATGTTTTCCATTTAGATGCATGGTAACCAGCAGCCGATTTCTGAAGAATGCATAAAACATCAACCAGGAACTTAGTTAACATAATTTCATGAATACTTACCTTCAGTCAGAAATAGATCATGAAAATATAGCGGGTTAAAGACTTCATCCACGGTCCGTAGGTTATCAGAATGGAACGCATTAACCTAAAACTAAACTACAAAGAATGATTTAGGATGATTCTGTGAAACTTCAGACAGGACCCAACCAGATCTGAAACATTTGTCTTGATGTGAATGAATTCGTTAACGTGAATTAACAAAAAACAGGCTTACTTTTTTTTTCAAAAGTATCTCTGTTACTTTTGATTTATCTACAGAACAGCTAATTTGGGGGAACAATGAATACATATGATTGAATCAACTTCAAAAGGTAACTGAAAAACGAACATCTGAAAACACTTTACCTGGAAATCACATTACAGTAGTTACAAAAGTAAAAGTAATTACAAAAGTGGGATTCATTCAGCTAACATTTTTCTCAGATTAACTTCTGCAAAGTATTTCATACCTCAGGTCATTCTTACCCACCCCCTAAGATGAGTCATTTTATAGACTTTGACACACGAAAAAAAATGGTAAAGCTTACTGACTGCTTATGTTCTAACATACAACCATAAGCTAGACAAACGTTCCACTCCTCAGGTCATGTTTCAGCTGCATTTGGTCTCCATCCAGCGCGTAGAGACGCAATCAAACCGGACTCGAGTCCTCAGATCTCCTCTAATAAAGCGGCCTGACCAGAATTTCACCCAAGAGTACTGGAGCTGACTGTGGGAGTAGATGGATGTCTAAAAATACGCAGTGACCTGATTAGAAAAAAATTCTCTGTCAGGAAGTCACAGTCAGGTCCCACTGAGTCCATCCACTGAATCATAGGATTTTTTTAATGTAAGCATGATAGGCTGTGACCCTCACTTAGAAAGTCATAGAGGGTGAACTTTTTTTTTACCAGCAAAACTTATTTTCAATGATCATAGCTGTTAGTTTAGAGTAAAAATAACAAAGCCTGTGCAGGACAAAAGATGTAATTTCCTGCAGCTCCTGAAGTGAAATAGACTTTTTTATGTTTTTTTTTTTAGAGTAGCTTTTGTGAGCTGCCCCTGAGTGGAAACTTTCAACCCCTTCCCCAAAATAACTTCCTGTGTGATAGATGGGACCCTCACATCTCTAAACTTGAATTCGACCCCAAATGAACCTGTTTTGAGGCCACGCTCTATCTTCACTTGTCAGAGCCCTTAAGGGGTGCGATTAATCTTTTTATTTACTTTTCAATTGTTTGCCATCTTTCAAATGGTTTCCATTTAGAAGTTAATGATGGTAAATCATTCTAAACATTGGAACTAAGTATAACACAACCATAATCCACCTGCGAGTTTGTGTTTATACGCATGCGCAATAAACGAGAGCTGAGCGCACAACCAATCAGAACGTCGGTCTTTTGATCCAAAATAGCGGCGGGAGAAGCGGTCTGAACGACAACTGTCGGCTTCGGCCGCCTCGGGAAAAACAAGGCCTAGGTAAGGCTTGAAATGGTAACGTGAACTGACAGTATATGATATAAGATGAAAGCTGACTTTGTCAGTTTGATGATATTTGATAATATTGCCTGAGTCGTGGCGGTTGTTGGTGACGAACGCTAGCGAGGCTAACGCGATAACAATCCGTTACCAGGCTAACCTGCTTTATTCAACGAGCTCAATAACGCATCAAAGCAACCAAAATGATTGAATTTTTTTAATATTTTTGGGCTGCATGAGTTCCTTTTTTCCCAAATGAGATAGAGAAAGAATAGCAAACATTTTCCAGCTCTCATGTAAACAATTCACCAACATAGAGTTTCTGTTCGTTGCTTAGGGGCTTTAGCTGATTGGAATTTATTGAAGTACAATTTTGCTTAAATAAAAACAAGCAAGTATCCCTCATCGAAACGGGCTATCTTGCCATTTCACGGTCAGCGTTGAACTAGTTTGGGTCGTTACACACTTCAGGTTAGTTTTGGGTGACTGAATCCTGTTTGACAAGCCTGTGACAAATACTCATGTACTTCTGACTCATTGTTCCTCTTAACGTGTATTTAAAGTCTCGTCTTTCACACACAGAAGAAATTGTCCGCTCTTTTGAAACCAGAGGGACTTGGCTAAACAGAAGGCCGATTCTCAGTTGTTACCTGTGGTATAACTGGAAGAGGAAGTAACAGGTTTGGTCTACTAGGAAGTAGTGCACAGCCTTTTGCGCTTACTGAAACCCCTGCAGGGTTTTCGTTTCATTAGTCTAAACCAGGGAGGATTCCGGAATGGTGCCCCTGTTATTTGAAACTGAATGAACAGGCTGTCAGAACTTGCCTTTTTCTGAACATTGGCATTGCTCTGCAGATTCAAAGCAGAAGTTTTCAGCTCTTGGCTGATTCTTTTCTAATGTCTGCCCTTTAACAAGCAGAATAAGAAAAGATATTTAAAAGAATTTTGGGCAAAGAATTCTTTTTTTTTTTCTTTAAGCGGGGGACATAATGTCACAATGAACGTTGCTGACAAAGCAACAAGTTAAATGACCTCATAGCCGGGCGGGGTTGACCTTAAGTTGGGATGTGGAAGCATCTCAGGAATAGAACCGGGATGCTCCAGAGCACGGCTGCAAAAAAAAAAAGCCAAAACAAGAAGCCAAACAAACTGCTCACCGCGCTTAAAAAATGGCTCCCCCCAAACATCTCCAGCACGGCAAGTTGCAACCTGGGAAAGTGTGAAAACCCTCCGGGATGCGGGTTGTGTACAAAAGGTCGGGTTACATGTTTCAGTTTACCCCCGTTGTTTGCATTGTGGCTCGTCTTGCTGCTGGACAAAGCAGCAAGGTCTGGGCCACATGCAGCATGCAGTCTGTGCAGCTTATGAAGCTTGTGCAGCTGCATCACCCTGAAACCCGGTATCAAGTTCATAATTGGTCTAGAAAGTCCTGCTTTTTTTTTACCGTCCATATTTGCCATTTCACAGGCAGTGTGATAGGCTAGAATTTTTTTTTTCATTGAAGATATTCTTATCACATGCTTCTGTTCAGAGCAAAAATATGAGCAACTGGGCAGGCCTCTCTCACTTTGAGTCCTCCCCCCCCTCTGCTTTCCTACCGTCTAACACCTTTCAGAGGGAGGGAGCAGAGACAGCAGAGCAACTGGTTCATTTGCGAGCGACATTCTCTCCACACAGTCAGACCGGGGAGGCAATCTGGAGAAAACTCTGACGGATTTTTTCTTACATAGACAATTTCTTCCTCTTCCTTGGTGTTGAGGCTTTGACTGTTTCTCTAAGGAAACAAAGAACCCTGAAGGGGGATTTTTCTGCTCTCATGTGAAGTTTAGGTAATCTTAAAGCCAAAAAAGGAAAATGTGCCTGAGAGGAAGACGGGATTAGGGGACAGAGACTACACTGGATTCACACCCACTGTTGTTTTCTTTTGCCGGTAAGTGTTTTTAGATAGTTTTAGGTATGTTTTCTGTTACCCACACCCGCCGCCCCCACCCCTGTGTAATAAGAGCTATTTATACAGTGGGTGACTTTGAAAATATGTCCCCTGAGGTGGTCTTGCTTTCGCACAGCTTGTTTTTAGAAGTGGCTGAAATGGCCTAGAGTAAAACGCAGGGCGGCTGTGCTTTCACCTGCCGCCGGTTATAAAAGGGTGAAACTGTGACGGGTGCGAGGCTCATAGTGCCACAGACAGTCTAGATGGCGTCTGACCTTTCGAAAAATGAAGCGACAAAAAGCCACAGAGGCTTCTTCTCCACCGAACTTCTAATGAAGAGTTCCTTTATTCAACAGCTCCGTCACTTTGGTTATAACTAGTCACTGGTATTCGTACCACACCCGCTGTCTGATGGGATAGAATCCAGCATCCAGCAGCCCATTTCAAACACCTCTAATCTGAATTCCTCTCTGTTATAAACTGATTCATTTCTTTTTCTATTTTTTTTTTTTTTTTATGGGGATGAATTGACATATGAATATAGGTTTATAATGATAAGTATGAACCATGCAGGGGGTGTTTGATGTAGTCTTCCCACCAAAAACTCCTCTAAACTTCAACATTTTACCACCTTTTTTTTTTTTTTTTTTTTTTTATCTCTCCCATTTATGATCCCTGGGGCAAAGTTCAGGGCTTTGATGGGCACTTTTAAATGCCATCTTTCTTTTTTTATTTGTTTAATTCCAAGTTGACAAGCACATGATGCACCCAGCCCTCACCAGTGTGCCACATGTGACATTCTAGCAGGTTCCTTCCAGGAATGGCCAATAAAAAGTCATGCTTTTGTCTCCTGGATGATAGAGTTTATCACTATGCTTTATGGCGGGCGGGCAGGAGTGTTTTTTTTTTTTTTTCTTCCCTCAATCATCAGGCTGAGTCTGTGACCCCCATCAGGCTCAGGGCATACAGTGATGTTTTAAAAAAGAAAAACCTGTCTGGGAGCGGTGGGAGTCCCCAGGCCGCGGGGCTTGTCATGATCCCCTCTTGGTTTCATCCCGGGTCCGGACGGAAGCAGCCTATTCTCGTCCGGCATTGTCCTGCGCGGCTATTCTGACAGCCCCCATTGTGTGGCCACACTTTCCCCGACCCTCAGCGGTTTCAGCGGGTCTGCAGTTTTAAACCCCTCCACTATGGACCAACCAGCGTGGAAACATTTGCTGTGTTAGCTTTTGCTTTCAGTAAGCACCTCACTGCCAATCCCCCCCCACATCAACCCCACATCCCATAAGCTGTGTTATTAGGTGAGCGGACACGATCCGAGCAAAGTATTTGCTCCCTGATCAAATCAAATAGCTCTGCTTCCAAGAATGCCTTTTGTTGAGCTCGTAAAAACCAAAAACTTGGCCAATGACATGACGGCATCAGAAGTGTGCGCATGCAAATTTGTGGCATTCGTCGGCCACGACATTCGCTTCCACTCAGGGCAACTGCTGACCTGGCAGACAAACGCAGCCTGTTTCAACACGTCCAGTTCCTCCTTTTGTTTTAAGAGGACGCAGCCGTTGCCCTGCCCTTTTTTTTTTCTTTTTTTTTTTTCTAGGAGGTCAGGCAACGCGTCCGACTCATGAGCGTCCGTGTGTTATCTCTCCCCAGAGTTCCAAGCTTCAGGGGCTAAGTGACTGCAGTGATAGAGGATGCTTCCGCGCCTGGCCCGGTAACCCCCCACCCCCACCCCACGCCCCCCCGCCACCCACCAGCGCGTGCGGCCTCAGCTGAATTCCGGGACACTTAGGATGGACGACCCAGCGAGCGCTACTCCGAGGCACCGTCGCAGCGCTCCCAACCTCCGTTACCACGCGGCCGCCGGCCGGACCGGGACCCCCGCCGCCGGCTGACCGCGCCCGCCAGGATGTTCCTGAACTTCCGCCGGCTCCGCAGGTACCAGTGCATGCAGCTCATGACCACCTGCCTGGTGCTGTCGGTGGTGATGGTCTGCTGGGAGCAACTGGACAACGGCGTGGTCAACCACTTCAAGTCCACCTCCTACCGCTACCTGGTCAACAGCTTCAGCTACATCAACCGGAGCCTCACCGTCCCGCGGGAGGAAGCCCGGCGCTTCAGCGACTTCCCCTACCTGCTGGACCACCCGGACAAGTGCGCCGGCCAGGACGTCTTCCTGCTCCTCTTCGTCAAGTCGCGGCCGGAGAACGTGGGCCGCCGCGCCGCCATCCGCGCCACCTGGGGCAACGAGAGCTACATCCAGAGCGCCCTCGGGGTGACGGTGAAGGTGGCGTTCGCCCTGGGCGCCACGGAGGCTCCCCGGCGGGGCCGGTCGGGCCCCCAGGAGCGGCTGGCGGCGGAGGACCGTCTCCACGGCGACCTGATCCAGAAGGACTTCCTGGACTCCTTCCACAACCTGACCCTGAAGCTGATCATGCAGCTCCACTGGGTGCACCACCGCTGCCGCCACGCCCGCTTCTTCATGACGGCCGACGACGACATCTTCGTGCACACGCCCAACCTGGTGGGCTACCTGCAGGAGGCGCGGCGGCGCGGCGCCGCCGACCTGTGGATCGGCCGCGTGTACAAGGGGGCGCCGCCCATCCGCAGCCGGGACAGCAAGTACTTTGTGCCGTGGGAGATGTACCAGTGGTACGCCTACCCGGACTACACGGCCGGGGCCGGCTACGTGGTCTCCGGCGAGGTGGCCGACAAGGCCTACCACGCCTCGCTGACCCTGAACGCCTCGCTGTACATCGACGACGTGTTCATGGGCCTCTGCGCCAACGCCGTGGGCCTGTCGCCGCAGGACCACGCCTTCTTCTCCGGGGACGGCCGGACGCCGTACCACCGCTGCGTCTACGAGCGCATGATGACCTCGCACGGCCACGTGGAGGACCTCCAGGAGCTGTGGGCGGCGGCCACGCACCCCCAGGTGAGGCGGGCCGCCTCGGGCCCGCTGGGGAGGCTGTACTGCGCCGCCGTCAGGGTGGCGCTCCTCTGCAGGCCCTCCGCCACCTACCCCTGCAAAGCGGCGTTTTCGTAGCGTTCGGGGGGGAGGGAGCGGGGGGGGACAGGGGGCGTGACAGAACGGGAGCACAACGCAAATATTACCTCAGTCCCGTCAGCCGGACATCCTCGTCCCAGGGTTGGGCGTGGAAGCAGAGACCGGACTAGAGGGTGAGAGCATGACCTCATCCACACGCTTGTGAATTGTAGTGTTGGCGGACTATAATCCCGGCTGGACCCTCGCCACAGAATGTGAATAAAAGAAAAAGGCTCTACAAAGAGGCTCTTTACATGTCGTTCCTACTGAGATTTCAACCTCTGATTTACAGAGCTGTGGGGTTGGTCACACTGACACCAGGATTTTTATTGTTTATATGAAACAACTTTTTTCTTTTTAAGTTTAATTTCTCTAAGGTTTATTGACAAACAAAAAGAGGAAAAGTGTAACCAGAAAACAACAAAAACAACTTTCCATGTGAAGAAAGTGCGTCACCCTCATGTTAAGAAGTGAAAAAGCAGAATAGATGAGTGAAGTCATTTGAAAAGTTGTGTGGAAAATGTTTTTTAATGAAATAAAATTTGCAAGCCGTGGTTGTCCAGCTGGGGTTTTTCAACTTGTTTTCTGGGAAACGAACAATAGCGCTAAGCACACAGTTTTTATGGAGCACAAGTTGTTCTGGGAAAATACCTGTGAGCCCTGGGTCGTGTTGGGAGGTGTGATGCCCTGACTTCTTCCTGTCTTTCCGTCCCACCACTCAGACACCCATACCAAAGAATTTTAAGTCAGGCGGTTCCAACAGGACCTCTCATTGTCTGCAATAATGGGTGGATGAGATGGGAAAGGGGCAAACAAATGATTATGCCATAACCAAATCTTATTCCACAAGGAGAAATTCCATAAAACGAGTCCCAATATCCTTCGTTAAAGTAGCAGTCGAGCAATTTAATGTTAATTCTACCTACAAAAAAAATGTGGCAGAACGCATAACAGAGCAGACTAAAATATGAATTTACAAGAATTATTTTTTAGCTAAACTGACACACCAAAGTAACAGGAGTGGGGACATGAAAAGTCTAATTATGGTGCCTTGGACTTGGACTTTGAATAAACTTCCTCCAAAAGTCCATAGTGGAAAAAAGTTTTGGCATAACTTATTTTTAAAAGGGACTTATTTTTCTACAACAATAATGACCAAACCACCATGTTAAGTTGTAACAAATTAGGAACAAGGGATGACATTGCTTTTTTTCCCCATCAATATTCGTTAATCTCTCTTTGAAAGCATCACGAGTCGTCTACACACCACCAGACCGCAAGAGGTATATATTTGGATTACATATTAAATCCTTCCGACGCATTTCTTTTGACAAACCACAAGAACGTGTACATGAAGCTCAAAAATACTTCCTCAACCTCCTGAGATTTAGCATGTTCCCCTCTCTTTACTATACTTCCTTTTTCTTTAGACTTTGAGCTCTTAGCCTCATAGCAGACATTATCAGACACTGCTGTTTGAAATCTAAAGTCAAATGGTTTTATACATTTTCAACCAATCATGTTCTTATTGTGTAATAAAAATTTGTATGAAATAAGATAACAAAGTATATAAGCAAACATTTTAAATATGAAAATAAACCCACTGAGCCTGTACGTAGAAAATCTACCTGTAACATTACAAAGTCTAGTTATTAAACCTATTAGGTCCCACTAATGCCATTTATCTAGAAAAATGCTCGGGCCTCGGGAGGTCAATCTGAATCCTTTTGGTTCCTTCTCAACCCTTAACTGGAGTCTCGGTGTTTGCACTCCTCAGCCAGAGCAACAGTTTCCCGAGGAACAACGCAGCTAATTAGAGTCAAAGTGCCAACCGACGGCCTGGAAGGGGATTCACATTTTCTCCCTCTTTCAGGGAATTATTGGCTTCTTCAAGAGTGTTCAAGTGTGACTTTTGTGGCGTGGATCCTTTCGAGTGTGATTTTTTTTTTTCTTCTTCCAGCTGGCGTGCGATGCTAGGCCCCCCAAATATAACCCCCGGACGCCGGGCAGATGATTCCGATCCAGTGTGGCATCTGGCACGCGGCTAACAGTAATAACTGAGGCCGGAGCTCCGTCTGCCTCGGACGTGACATGAATCTCACCCAGCTGCCGAGAAACTAAAAGAAAAGTTGTCTGTTTCTCGGTTGAAACTGACCTAAGGGAACGACCAATCCCAAAAAATGGACCTCAGTCCTTGTGCTGAATATCAACTGTGGTTTTTAATCTGTTGTGTCCTTGTTGGATGCTTCTTTTTGGCTAATTCTGATCAATGTTTTCCACCTAATGAGTTTGGCCGGCTTTCCGAAAACTCATCCGTGACCAGTTGAAAGGCGGAGAACTCCTCCTCTCGCCTTGTGCCTATATGTTTATTTATGGGCCTTCGTCTGGAAATCTGAGCAGAGCAGGATTAGCTGTTCCGGCAAAACAGCTGCTCGGTCTCCTTGGCGACGATGACAAAAGAACAGGATTTGGGACAGGTCCCCCGGACAAAAACACAAAAAAAAAACATCTGCTCGCATCCTCTGACATTCCCGGTGTCTAAACGAGCTCGAAGACATAAACCTAAAGCCATTTTCATCCATCCATCCATCATCGTAACTGCTTATTCCCTAAAGGGGGGACTGGAGCCTATCCCAGTGGTCAATGGGCGAGAGGCGGGGTCACCAGTCCATTGCAGGGCCACACAGAGACACACAAGGACCAACAACCACACACACTCACTCCTACAGGCAATTTGGAATGTCCAGTCAACATATATTTTCAGCCAACCATGTTCTTATTGTGTAATTAAGATGTTATAAACAAGTCATCATGGTAACCGCTTATTCCCTAATGGGCTTGCGGGGGGGAACTGGAGCCTATCCCAGTGTTCAATGGGCGAGAGGTGGGGTACACCCTGGACAGTCCGCCAGACCATTGCAGGGCCACACAGAGACACACAAGGACCAACAACCACTCAAACTCACTACTAAGGAAAATTTGGAATGTCCAACCAACCTAACATGCATCTGCTCTAGATTCATTTGAGCTTTTAGTGCTGAACAACACGCCTATCAAAAGATAACGAATCAATATTCGTTCATCTTTTTTAACGTGAACAATAACGGCCAAACCACCAACTTAATGTTGTAACAAATGAGGAACAAGGTATGAAATTGCTTTTTTTCCCCCATCAATATTCAGCAATCTCTCTTGAACGCATCACAAGTTGCCTTAAAATGACCAAAACAAGTCGTCCACACACCACCAGACCACAAAAAATATATATTTGCATTACAAATTTTATGTTTCCGACGCATTTCTTTTGTCAAACCACAAGAACATGTGCATGAAGCTGAAAAATACTTCCTCAACCTCCTGAGATATTGCGTGTTTGCCTCTCTTTACCGTGATACTTCCTTTTTTCTTTCAACTTTGACCTTTTGGCCTCATAGCAGACGTTATCAGATACTACTGTTTGAAATCTAAAGTAAAATGGTTTTATACATTTTCGACCAATCATGTTCTTATTGTGTAATTGTGGGACTCGAACCCAGAACCATCTTTCTATGAGGCGACCATTAAAAACTTTCTTCTTTTTAAAACTTATTCATTTAGTCATCAGAGTCTGCGGTCAGTCATCTAACAGGAAAGTTCAAACTACAAACTCATCACTTATTTCTCTCGGTCACTTCCTGGTGAATCAGTTTATTTCCTGAGCATGTGATGTGATTTGTCAGTGGGTTAGGGAAGGACACAGGGCCTGCCTGCACACGCTTATCAGGACCAGACTGTCCGGCCTCCCCTGCGATTGTGCGTCACGGCACGTCTGAACGCACGAGCCAGTGACACCAGCCGTTCCGGATTTTTCTGATTCTGAGAAGCGGGATGTGGGTAAACTGTCATTTAAAGGTTCCAAATCGCTTCCTCTCCTGGCTCCTTTTTTGTACATCAGTCCGTGTAGAATATAAACCTAAATTTGGTTCATAATCCATCCATCCATTGCCCACACAGCTTATTTTCTATATTTATAACTGTATTTAATAACATCGTACAGGAAAAGGGTCCAAGCAGGGTCATCTGTTCGGTCCACAACAAGCTACTGACCAAAATGCAGGTCAGAGAGCGCAAAGAATTCTGAGAAATCGGCTTTGTGGACTTTTTTTTCTGTCTATCAGAATCAGAATCAGAAATACTTTAATAATTCCAGAGGGAAATTATTTTTGTTACTAGCTCCACAAATAGAACAACAGCATATACATATATATGTGTCGAGATATATATATATATATACAAAATTCCACACAGAATATAGATAAATACATACATAAATAACTATATGTATATATATAGGTCTAAAATAAGTGGTAGTGATGGTGTCAATAATTTAGTTGGACTCTCAGACGGAGGTGTTGTACAGATTGATGACCACAGGCAGGAATATACACTATATATTATACTATATACTATATATAACATAGATAGATAGATAGATAGATAGATAGATAGATAGATAGATAGATAGATAGATAGATAGATAGATAGATAGATAGATAGATACTATACTATACTATACTATATTATACTATATACTATGCTATACCTTGGATGCTCAATCCTGTGTGCCCTTACATCAATTTCTCCTAAAATAAACTGAACCGATTTCATACCATGTCACAACTTTTACATCCTTCCCTTTTTTGTGTGTGCGCAGGCATTTTTTAACTACACAAAAAAGAGTGTAAAGGCATTTGTCTGTAGGACTCTTTTCCTTTCTACGAAAAACAAACCCTTGGGGCTTCCTTTTTTTCGTTCGCAAAAGATTTCCAAAAAGGGTCATCCTTATTTCAAAACAGTTGGCCCAGTAAAAACAGACTAAGAACTGAAAAGTAATTTTTTTTTTTTTTCATGTACGAAGGTTGAACTTAGAACACTTTTGTTTGTCGATTATCTGGATAATTCCAGGATGACTGACATCACGAATCTCATATATGACCCCTTCTAATGTTTTTATTTTTTTT